ATAGCAATAAAACCTGGGCACAAAGATCATAAAACGTGTATCTATAGCTGATTTAGAGCTCTTTCGAGTTGAGGAAGAAAGTACCAGTGGTGAACAACTATCTTAAGTCTTTCTTTTTCTTCGGAGAAAAAGGTTACAAGCGATCGGCTAAGCCTTACTCTCCTCATTAGTTTCAAACATATCGTACCCAAAGCTATGAGACTATTTCTCTTTTTTTTCTTCTTTTATTTTCACAACCAAAATAAGTCATTTGCGCTTGGAGGCATGCTTTTAAAAAAATAGAGGATGAAGAAATCTTCAGCTTCTTCAAAAAGTTTCAAGTTGTTTTCCAGAAGAGGATTTTATAAATATTCAAACGAGAAAGATTTCTTTCTATAGCATTTGGAAGAAAACAAACTTCTGGAAATTGAAAATTTTTCTATAATTGGTTTTTATACAAACAGAAATAGAAAATAGAATTTGTTTTGAAATGTGTTATTATCAAAGATCATAAAAACGACAGCTTTTGAGGAAAACATAAGCATAATTGAATTCATACATCAAATATTTAAGCTTTAAATATGTGCTCGTATAAGACTTTTATTAAATGTAATGGATGAGCGGCTCAAATGTATTACCAAATCAAAATTTTAACACTATTCAACACACATATTTCCATTTTTATTCAGGACAAAAACTTTTTTTGTTTAATTACGATTTCCTAACTCCTTAGAGATCTTTATTTCTTAATTTGATTTTTTCTTTTATTTTCTATTATGTTAAAGCTAAAGAGTCGTCAACAAGAGGGATGTTTTTGTGCACTGAAGCTTTTATCTTATTCAATTAAAAACAATCAACACAAAAGGAAAACGGTCGCAGAAACAGAATTATTTTCAATGATTTCTATGTACTAGTAGTGCTTATAAAAAGATTCATGAATTAGACCGTGAAATGTTTTACAAAAATTTGCAAAATATTTTTATTAAAAGTGAAAAAAATAAAACCTTATATTTTGAAAAATTAGAGTAATTCTTTGTAATGAAATTAAATTAAAAACAACGTTTTAAAATTAAAAATATATCAAAAAGCTTTTGTGTCAATCGCGTAAAAGTTTTTTACAAAACCCTATGCGTGTTTCGATGTCATAATAGTACACCTTCATCACTAGGATAAAAGAGAGGAATAATAAAAATAGAGTAATTTTTAACAGAGTAATTCACAAAGAATCATCACAAAGAATAGAGTAAATCATTGTGATGAAATTAAATTTGAATTAAAGACAACGTTTTAAAATCAAAAATAGTAAAAATGTATCAAAAAGTTTTTGTGTCAATCGCTTAACGTTTTTTTATAAAACCCTACGAGTGTTTCGATGTCATAATGGTACACCTTCATCACTAGGATAAAAGAGAGGAATGATAAAAATAGAGTAATTCACAAAGAATAGAGTAATTCTTTGTGATGAAATTAAATTTAAATTAAAACAATGTTTTAAAAAATTGAAAATGGTAAAAATGTATCAAAAAGCTTTTGTGTCAATCGCGTAAATGTTTTTTACAAAACCCTATGCGTGTTTCAATGTTATAATGGTACACCTTCATCACTAGGATAAAAGAGAGGAATGGATAAAAATAGAGATGATTAAAACCCGACAGAGGTCGTGTGATACTAAAAGAAATAAATATACATTTAAAAGAGTCAAAAAACTAAAAAATAAATAGTGATTTCCAAACATTAGAAAAATATGTTACAGTAATAAAGTAGTTCACAATAAAGTTTTCGTTTCTAATGATATCGTAACTTAGATTCCACAAAAATCAACGTTTTAAAATCCCAAGTAGTAAAAATTTATCAAAAGTTTTTGTCTTTGACAAAAATCTATACGCGTTGCAATGTCATAATGGTACACCGTCCTCAGTAGGATAAAAGACAGGTAACAGAGATGACTAAAATTTGACATAGGTTTTATCATACTAAAAGAGATAAATATACACCTGAAAAAGTAAAAAAAGAAAAAGATTTTTTTTCAAACTTTCCAAAAATATGTTACAGCAATGAAGTCAGTGGCGTGCCAGCCGGGGGGGCAGAGGGGGCAGTCGCCCCCTCTGAAATTTTAGTGAGGGGGCAAACAATATATTTCGCCCCTCCTGAAATTTAAACATTCGAGAAAANTTTTTTCCGCTGCAAATCCTCGTAGAGGATTTTCAAGGGAAAAAATTACCGCAGCCGACAGGATTCGAACCTGTGCGGGGAAACCCCAATGGATTTCGAGTCCATCGCCTTAACCACTCGGCCACGACTGCCTTACCTAGGACAAGATATAGATACTACTTCTAATTGCAGGAAATACTTTGAGAAATAAGAAACAACTCAACATATTTATAACAAATAATGAAATAGTATAGTATAGCTGATCTTTAAATATCTTATAGTTATCCCGCTTTCTGTTGTTAGTTGAAAATAAACTCTCTGAAATTTACCTGTTATTTTAGATGATTTTTAAATTCGTTGAATTTTCCAGATTTTCTCTTTGGAGTCGTAGCAATCCTGTTAAAGCAGAAATTTTGAAGTCAGTGGATTTTTTTTTAAACGTTAATCAGAGCTTATGTGCGTTCATATTCACAAACTCATTTGTCCATCTGACTTTTTATTTAACATTTTTCATTGTACTATAGTACATTCTTATGTACTTGGGCGTGTTACTGTAATTACGAAGATAAGAGGCATAAAATTAGGATGTGTGTTTAACTGCTTCAGGTTGAGTGCAAATCTTAAAAAATGTAAAGACTGAAATTTCTTCAAAATTTGATACTGATTATAGTTTTATTTTTTATTTAAAAAAAAAGCAATTAAACATGATTTTTCAGTAATCTGCGCATAAATTAACGGGTAAGGAAAACAAACTTCCTTATGGGAGAAGAATGATAATTTAATAATTTTGTCCCCAGATTGATAGAAATTTCGACGATTTCCGAACAGTGGGAGATTTAGAAATCGGAAGTCTTCCCAAAAAATGCAGGAAAGTAGACAAGTCTGCACTTTTGTCCCATTACCACTCCATTCTAGTTAGATGTGCGGTCTACTCAATCCCAGTACCACGTTCTTTCATGACTAACTTTTTTTTTGTCCCACAGTGGACAGATCGGTAAGACACGGTTCCCAGTAAAACACCGAAGTCAAGCATCATTGGCTTCGGTCAGTGTACTGGTGGTGATTACTTGGATCGATTCTGCAAAAGGACTGAGGGTGGGCTGTATTGGCCCTCGTTAAACTGTTTAACCATTAAGTGTTAGACTTCGCCCGCAGGTCATCGGGCAATCGAAGTGGGAGTGCCATCCCCTCTGCAGAGAATCAAAATTGTGATGGCATGTCTTCGGATTATCCTCAGACCGTCACCAATTGCGCAGCTCTAGTGCGACGGTAATAATAAACTACAACTACTAACTTTTTTCGCAACCTCAAAAAACTTTTATTCCCACGAAAAAAAAATTTTTTTTTTTAATGGTTTCTTTTTAAGTAAGTAAAAACCTTAATTAAAAATATTTTTTCATTCACTTTTTAGCAAAAATCAATTTTCGTAAAAATATTTTTTTTTACGAGAATCAATTCTTATTTCGAAATTGACATTTATAATTGAATTATATTCCTTCTGCCGATTTTTTCTCCTTTCTTTCAGCCGAAGAGTGACATTCACACTTATTTAGGGAGAATTATGTGATTTTTACTCTTGTTTCCATAGTAGTTGACAACCTAAAAGACTTTCAACTGAAAGAGTTCTCATGAAAGCTATACTGTAACGTGAGTAGATGAACAAATTTAAAGGTCGTCAACTTATGATCCACCAATGATGAGCGCTGGTATTATAAGCGCTTTTTTCTTTTCAATGAATAAAAGTTATATAATATGTACTTCTTGCGAGTTATCTGTATTACGTGTCATGTACTACGTAGTGACACGCATGCCATTCACCATCTTTGACTTTTCAATGTTTGGCAAAATAATTTGCCGAACATTGCCTTCTTTTTTACAATATTTCCCAGCCCAAAAATTTTTTAATTACAACAGCCAAGAATCTATTGCAGGTATAAACATTAAATTTACATAAAAATATAGAATACGTTAGTGTTTCATCTTTCATTTAAAATTAGAACTGCAGAAAAAATTTGACTGCACAATATTTTATGACTTTTTACATGTAAATAAAAAGTATCATTTTAATTTGCAAAAGCAACCACTGCAATAAAGAATACAAGGGCATGTCCAGACATTTTGTGAAAGGTCCATTTCTGTAAAAAAATTACTTGTAATTTGTGAATATAAAATAAACGTTAAGTCACATTCTTTCAACCAGTGTCCTGCTTTTGTGAAAATAGGGTCCTGTTATTGCAAAACACTTTTTCAGGGAGTTTTTAAATTGTAAAGAGATACAAGATTATGCTCAACACTGTAAAATTATAATTAAAAAAAATTAAATTTTAAAAGATAAACAGCAATTGCTGCTGCCAAATTAGAGATGCAACATACAAATATTTGGTATTTAGCCTATACTGCTGAACACTTTTCGGACGAATAAAGGAAGAAGCATCTGCCGAAGACAAAACTTAGTTTGTTTACATCTGTCTTTCCCCCCACTCCCCTGGGAAGGGTTTATTCGATTAACAAAACAATAATGAAGATTAACAAATTTGTGAAGGATCTGATTGAAAGATAAATTATTTTGTGACTGGTTTCGTTTTTAAGTTAAAATATTTAGTGAAGGGTCCGTTAACGGAACCAAATTTCTTCTAAACAGACCCCTGGAATAATTAAGATATTTAGTCTCCGTCTTAAAGAAATTAAATTTTGTGAAGGGTCCCTTTATGATGTTGGAATCTATGAGAAGGTTCCTTTTTCTAGGGATCAGAATTCAATAGAAAATTTAAAACTCAAGTTGTATGTAGAAAAACTACCAAATTATAAAAACAGTTTGGCTGTTTGAAGGCGTTCAGAATTTTAAACACTAAATTAATTGAAAAAGAAGCAACAGTTTGAGGAGATTTTTATTTTCTCAATAACATACATATTACTAAATGCATCATGAATGCACAACAATATTACATGTTTGAATAAAATATATATCAATGTTTCACTATGATTTCTCTCATCAAATATTTAGGTTCATTCTCCAAATTTAAAACCAGTAAGTTTGTACTGTGCGTAGAACAAGAGTTGAGAAAATAAATTAACAAGATTCAAAGCATAACAAAATATTAACAAACTATATACAAATTATAATATACTATAAAAATTTAAAAACACAACAGATAAAAGCTAAAATGCAAAATACACAACTTTAATATCTAAGTGTGTAAATATGATGAAATTTAATATTAAACAAAATTTTAACAATAAAAACTAAGACATTGCACTAATGCAATGCAACACTTAGAGGTGCAAATTTAGACAAAGAAATGAAAAGTTTTTTTATCGATTGTTCCAGTTGCTCATAAACGACATTTTATCCATTTTTGACGAACCTTTTTTCATTCCAAAATCGTATTCATTATTATCTTCTTCTTTCTTATACAAGCTTTTCAATGCTTTTTTACTATTCAGATCCAACTGACCATCAAAATAGAAAGAATTTATGTGATTTAAAAGCCTGTCAACTTTTTCTGGGAAATCCTGTATCTTGTCATCATTGGAACTCAATTTCGTAATGCCGAAGATGGGCTTGACATCATTGTCGAAATCATCATTATTCGGCTTGTCGTCGTCAAAGATGAAGAAGAAGCCCTTCAACTTCTTCCACATGAAGTCGATGATTTCGTAGTCGTTGGCCTGTTTTCCGATGTCTTCTTTGACATCCTGGAAAGAGCTCAGGATGAGTGTAACAAAGATGTTGAGTAAAATGATGGTAGTAACGAGACAGAAAACAAAGAAGGACAGAGGGCCGAGAATTGGAGCCGCCAAGCAAATGGCATCAAAATCAAAACCACCACCATTCATTATAGCAAACGTGGACTCCGCTGCCGTCACGAACGAAGAGAACTCTCTCATGGTCACGCCAAATACCAAGTAGAAGAACTGTACAAATGCCAGATAAATACAGCCAAAAACGACAAAGAATGATTTCAAATCTTTGGCGCATGCAGCTAACGTGCTGTAGAGGATTCCCATCCTCTTGTTAAACCTCAGCAACTTGATGAACTTCAATATGGCTATGAACATCAAGAAAGCAATCAAGAAACCAAACACCTCATCAACAGAGGCGACATATTGCATTTTTATATAGCCATTCCCATGCGTCTTCTCAAATGTACTTAATATTTTTCTAGTGACTTTCATTCGGTAAGCATAGAATGTTATACCACTGATAGACAAGCAAATAACAGCCACTTCAGCCCAGTTCCAGTAAGATTTAAAATAGTCTCTTCCTTCTAGCCTAAACTTCTTCCATTCCCGAATTAAGAAGTAGAGAGTATAAATAACATATCCCAACTCACATGCCATTACAAATCCACCAAATCCTTGATGGTATCTCATTAATCGGATGACTTCAAGTCGATAGAATGGAACGACACCACCTCCAGGTAAAAACTCAGCGACAATAGTCATAACACCAAATAAGTTTACTTGAGCATTGTAAGCTGAAAATTCAGCAAAAACAGCTCTGGTTTGAGGATCAATCCAATCACTTTTTTCTAAACGGAATATTTCTTCTTTCAGTTTTTCAGGTGTGCCCCTCAATGGAAAGACATAGCCTCCTCCACCATAAACATCCCGAATCGCCCAGAAAGGCAAACCATTCAGTTCTTTTGCTTTTCTGTATCGATATTCATCATTTGTGTCATTCATTGCTTCAACCTTCCACCCAGGCTCGTAACTCTTTTTGTCCTCATGAATGATGCTTGACTGTGATCGGCATACTTCAGTTATGCTTTTCACTCGCTTATCGACATTACAGGATCCTAAAAATAAATTAAATAAAGTTATTACTAATTGCAACCATTAAGTAAAGAAAAAAAACTAATAATTTAGTTTCTACTTTCACATACAAGATAAGTTATATTTTTAAATTAATCCAGAGCTTATTTTTTCTAATAAAATTGCTAATTTAAGCATAAATTTAAAAAATATAAATATATATCTCTTATAATTTTAGATAATTATAAAATTTTAACAGAAAACTTATTTATTTTTGATTAACTCTTTATTTTTAACAAATAAACAAAAAGTTCTTATCTTTTTTTTGGACACAACATATAATAGATAAAAAATAAATAAAAAATGTTTTCTTTGCTTTAAACCCATTTTGTTGATGGTAAATCCTGTTCTCTTACATTTCAACTTATGCGATTAATGTCGTCAACTACACATAATCAATCTGTCTTTTCATTTGTTTGTTCGATAGATCATGATTTTGTTCCTTTTTGGAGTATTCTAGTACAGCTCTCTGTTACTACAGTACTGTTACTCTTCAAACGACAGTATAAGTCTTTGAATAAAATCTTATTTTGCGTGGAAAGCTTTGCATTAATCTTCTTGAAGATTACTTTTTCATTTCTTGTCAAAACGTTTTTGAGCTATTAGACTGCTGTTTAGTGCTAGAATGTAAAATATTAAAAAATAAAAAATAAACCTTTTTTGCAGATACAGCAAGGTCTTAAAAATGTCGATAGTTAAACTCCAACAATAGACAAAGTAGTCGTGTTTAGCACATTATGGCAGAATACACTTAATATAAAAACAACTTGACAAAAAAATTGCTTTAAAGATTGATTATTTAAATACCAAGATGCAATCTTACCTGAAATCTCAAACTTCAAAGGAATTTTTTTAAAAGTGTTTTTAAAACAAGTGAAACAAAAGTTTATTCTTTTTCTAATTCTATCTCCATTTTCTCAAAAACGAAAAATCAATAAAATGGAAACTTACTTTCTTTTATGCGAACTTGTCTCAAAACACCATATCCCATAATTCTATTGACTCTGTCATTTAAGAATCCTCTTAAGCCAAAAGGTTGATCCCCATTATACCATTTGCCCACAATCAATTCAGGAACTAAAACTTCTCTTGTCCATTTATAGAAATCAGCTGTGCTAGTTATCTAAAAAAAAAATTTATGACAACATAAGTAAGCATATAAAGCAAAATAAAACATATTGCACATTACCAGAGCAACAAAATAAAGAACAGCAGTTAATCAGCTAAATTAATGTAATGCGAATAAAGCTTTGCAAGCTATTTAGCAAATTGATTTATTTAAAATCAAAATAGTATTCAATCTAAAATTATTGTAAAAAAATAGAGAAATAATTTGATTTGTGGTAATACACAAATATTTCAGTTGCTTTAGAATTTAATATGATACTTATGCATTATGCACACACTGTATGAGATTAAGTCAACAAATAAGCCCTCAAAAAATCTCTTACGTTACGAAATTCGTAAATTAATTAATCCAAGTTTTTTTTCTTACAAAGTGCATAACTTGTACCAAAGAAATAATTGCACATAATGCCATTGAATTATAAATTTAAATAACACAGGATATTTTTTCACAAAGTGCATAGCTTGCGTCTAGAAAATTCCTTACTGTCATAAAACTGTAAATTAAATAATGCAGGAATTTTTTTATTACAAAGTGCAAAACTTGTATCAAAGAGATAATAACACTTACTGCCATAAAATCATGGTTTTCATTTCCTTCTCTAATAAATGTGTCTTTCAGATTTTGTCTCATGTAATATGCACTGGGATCTCTATTGCCATAACTCAAAATTGTTAGAATCCAAATGAAGAAAGCGTAGGAAATCATTTCTTTCAGTATGGAAGTCATTTGGAGTTCTTTCATACGCTCTAGTTTAGCTCTCTCCATTTTTTCCATGTCAGCAGGCTTATAGAGAAGTTTTGCTTTTTCTGATTTTGTATCTGGATCTATTAAAAAAACAAAATATTTTAAATTGTGATAATTATTATTTTCCTTTTAAACAATTTCATAATTTAAATATACGTGTTAGATAAATATCTCCAATATTAACCTAATTAATTTTTGAGAGAATACACCATTGCATTAATCTCTCATGCATTTAAATTGTTTATAGCAAATATAGATAACTGCAAGAATTTGATTCTTAAACTTTACCCTAGTAGCATCACGACTTATAATTTTTTTAAAATTATTTCACACAAAAGTTCAAAAATCTTTACATTTTTGACAACTCACTCACTGTGAACAGGGGATGGACAAAATAATGGAACACACTAACACACTTTTTGATCTTTCTCAAAAATTACTTAGAGAATCATTTTAAAAATTTAGAAGTGTTTAGTATATGCAATTTCTTATACTTATCAATAAAGGCTAAAAATTTGAGGGACCACCAATAAATTGCAAACTGAAAATAGCGTTTTTAAACTACCTATGCCAAATAAGTATCAATAAAATTGTAACTTGCAACTATTAATTTGGTCATTATTAGTAACAATTGCAAAAAATTTCGTAAACTTAGTTTAAATATTTATCGAAATATGAACATTTTTATAGAAAACTAATTTTCTTGTCTTACGTTTTTTTACTATAACTTTAAAAATATTCAATAAAATTAAACAAAATTTTTTGAGCAATTTAAAATTAATTTCAAAACTTTTTTAAAATTTGAGAAAAATTTGCTTAGACTGGGCAAAATGTGAGTAATTAAGGTGATTCTTTTATACTGTACAAGTACGAGGAAAATTTAAAATACTTTTTCTTAATTTTGTAGTGTATTGTACTTGGTAACTAATAAAAAAAGAGTCTGATTTGAATACCTTAAAAATTTAAAAAAATTGAAGCCATTTTCTAAGTAGTTTTAATACTTTTTAAAACAAAGCTACAATGATAAGGGTTTTCCACTAATTTTATTCTGTACTATTAAACAAGATTTATTAAACATGACACAGACATTAATGGAGATCATCCCCCCTTAAAGTATATTTTCTTTTGCATGTTTCCTTTCTTCTTACATTAATATTTTGATATATATTGTAAGTTACCCATCATTTGTTATTTAATTTTGTCTTATGATACAAAATAATGTTATCATTTAAAGTTTCTTTTAAAAAGTACAAAAACTACTTAGAAAATTTTTAAGATATTCAAATCGGGCTTTTTTTTATTAATTGACAAATATGATTCAATAAAAAATTATGAAATTTTTTTTTTTAAATTTTGTACGCATGCGCAGTATAAAAAACTACTTTATTTACTTATATATTGCGCAGTTTCTAATGAATTTTTTTCAAATTTAAAAGCAAAAATTTTGTAATGAATTTTAAAAAGTTGAAATTTTTTTTTAATTTTATTGAATATTTTTAAAGTTTTAACAAAAAAATTAGTTTTTTTTTATAAAAATGTCCATGTCTACATAAATATTTAAACTAGGTTTAGAAAATTTTGCGTAATTATTGCATATAATAAGCAAAATAAAAATCCCAAATTTATTGCTACATTTTTCGGCATAGAATTTTCAAGAACATTACTTTTATTTGTAATTTATTGTCGGTCCCTCAAACCTTTAAACTTCATTGATGAGTATGAGAAATGGCATGATCTAAACACTTCTGATAGCTATAAAATGATTCTTTACGTATTTCTTGAGAAATATGAAAAAAAGTATTAAAATAGAAGTGATTCCATTATTTTATCCACACGCTGTATTTCTATTATTTATAAAACGATCTCTAATGTAAACACAGTAATTTCAAAAAAAGTTACCTTTATGTAGCCATTCTTCATCAGATGCTAATTCTGGTGGTTCTTCGTCCTCATCTTCTTCATCTTCTGTGTCAACTTTTTTGAATATTGCAGAAAAGAACATAGCTACTAAGAAAACCTGAAAAATAATTTTATTATAGTTGTCATGACGATGATGAATCATGAATAGTAATTCAGAGTTCAAAATATTTACATAATTCTGAAATAAAACTCTACAAAAAAAATTAAAATTCAATAATTGTCTCTTTTTTTTTCAATTTATACTGAATTTAGCTTAAAGCTCATGTAGGAATTAGGACATATATGGTTTATCTTTATTTTTTTTAAATCACCTTGATTGTATCAAAACCATTTTAATCTAAATCATTTGGACTTTGCTATATTTAAGACATTTATATAAATTTTGTTTGTTTTTTAAGTAGCAATATTAAGTTGAGTCATTATAACATGTAAAATTCAAGAATCTTGACCACATAAGATCTAGAGGGGCTGTAAATAATCAATATTTCATCTTGATAAGCTTTATGCAGAAATATGAAATTCATATCTAAATTTTGCAGTTTTTAATCAGCCCCTATTAAGACCATATAGAATTGTTTAATGCAACCTATATTTTTCAGCCACGGCTTAGATGGAACCTATATATACATAATTATTCAAGTCTATCTACAATGCGTATCCAGAAAGTAAGTTTCCCTATTTTTTTTAAAAAAAAGAACTCATACTTTGAGGAACATATTTATTGGCTACAAGTACAGCAATGTTTCAGCTATTTTTTAACATAGCCACCACCAAAATTGAGACACTTGTCATATCGAGGGATCAATTTTTGTATCCCTCTGTCGTAGAACTCTGCCGCCTGAGAATGGAACTAGTTTATGACAGAAGTCTTCTGCTCTTTGTCGTTGCCAAAACGCTCACCGGAGGACAGGAATTTCTCGAGGTGTAAGAAAATGGGCAAATCGCTGGGAGCAAGATCAGGGCTGTAGGGTGAATGATCAAACAACTCCAAGCCAAATTTTGTCAAAATAGCTGCTGTGCGTCGTGCCGTATGTGGACGAGCATTGCCATGGAGGAACACAACACCTGCATTAAGTATTCCACGCCTCTTGTTTTGAATGGCACGTCGCAATTTCCGCAGTGTTTTGCAGTAACGGTCAGCGTTTACTGTTTCATCACGTGGTTCCATTCACAGGCGGCAGAGTTCTACGACAGAGGGATACAAAAGTTGATCCCACAATATGACAAGTGTCACAATTCTGATGGTGGCTATGTTAAAAAATAGCTGAAACACTGCTGTACTTGTTGCCAATAAATATGTTCCTGAAAGTGTGAGTTCTTTTTTTTTTAAAAAAAAATAGGGAAACTCACTTTCTGGATGCGCCTCGTAGTTGCATTGAAGCAAAATCTAAACATCCTGATTTCAGTTCCTTGGTTCATGTTTTACTAAAATGCTTGCTGAGCCTATTTTGTGCTCTACTGGGGCCAAGCAATAAAAAAATTTTGTCTCGTAATACTTCTGAAAAATGGTCTCAAATGGTCAAAAATAATAATTAAGTTTTACTTTAAGTAAAATAAGTTATTACTTTATTAATAGTTTATGTCAGACATAACAAATGACTCAACAATTCCGTCAGATTTTGGAGACAATGGTTTCTTAGGACCTAAGAATACCAAAAATATTGGACTGTTTTTAAATAAAATTGTGCCCATTCTTAAAATAATATAAATCTCTACTTCAAAGATATACACTAAAAATAAATATTTTGTAAGAAAAAAAAATGAAATTAGAAACTGATTCAGTAATAATAATTTCGCAAAAAAAATATATATTATTTTCTCCTTTACTTATTAATACCAAAGATTTTCTTTCTTTTTTAAAGTTATGATCAAGTTTTTTTTCTTTTTAAACCGAATCTCTGTAATTTTTTTTGTAATACAAAAGTTAAGTTATTAGGTGTCCCAAGGATGCATAAGTTAATTTTTGGCATGCTATGATGGGTATGCAGAATAACTGCAATCATTATAATAGCAATTTTTTTTTCAAATAGGAAGGAAAAGAAATTATACCTTAATAGGTTGAGTAACTAAGATTGAACTGAAGAAAGATATCAGAAGAGATGTAACCCATTTTTTTGTCTTTTCATCTCCAAATTGAACACCATAAGCCCATAGGAAGAAGCATGATACAATAATACTAGACACTGCCAGAATCCAAGCGATGATACGGCACCACCATGGAAATAAGAACTTCTTTTTCTTCTTCTGTTTTTGCAGTCCAAAGCGATTTTCTCTGCGAGATTCATCCTCTTGGGAAATATCATCTAAAATCAATGTTGTTCCAGAAAGTGCAGAGCCTGGTCTAGAAAATGTTGAGCCTTTCTTTTTTGAAGCAGCCTCTGAAAAAAGAGGATTCAAATATGCAAGTCTATTAGATTGAATAATATATTTGGAATAATATATTTAAACTTAACTTTGTTCAAAAACAACCCAAAGTTATGTCAATTTAAATTTTAAACTGTTCATAAATCCTTGATTAAAGTGACCACAATGAAATAAAACAATGATAATGATATTGGAAACAATTAAAGCTGTAAATAATATGGAAAAATTCATTTTGCACAGCAAGTACGCACTCAATTAGCATTCTCTAACCATCAACTTTTAGTCAATAAAATTGTGAATCCATAAAAGTACCTAATCACGGTTAAGTACCTAAAGCTTTCTAGTAGCGCGGTCAATTAAGGTGCCACACTAAATGACTGGTGTGTATATGTACCACGGTGCATGCTTAAATCTGTTACGGCTGAAAGTCCTCTCATTGGTTGTGGCGTGGAAGTTTGTAGGTAGCCAGGCACGCCTGGGGTCAAAATTATGTGGCATTCCTAACATGGCTGTTAAGAGAAAGAGTCTTGAAAATGGCTTACAAGATCATGGAAGAGTAACGTAAAGTCAAGCACCTAGATCTGTTCTTCCTGTATCTATCTTTTTATGACCATCATATGAAGCCATATAATTTTGACCTAAGTCAGACAGTGCAAAAGATGGGACTCCTCTATGCAAACTTCCACACTTATCCACCAAAATGATTAGATTTAGCATGCACTATGCAATGCATGCAAGTCGGTTGTGTAGTGAGCCTGTAGGATCAGACTCGTGACCCTGCCCAATTAGATCACTGAGAGCACTCCACAATACCCCATGTGTGGTGTTTAGATAAACTAAACAATCTTTTAAACATAAAAATTATACTTTTTATACAAGATAATGTATGTAATATTCATATTTAACTATGTGATTGTGAAGTTTACCTGATTCCCGGAACTTATTTAGAAATCTAACAAACTGCATGCAAAAAATTATGAAACTGCGAATGAAACTAAAGCATTTGATTTACATTTATTATTTTTAATTAAAAAAATTCCATGTCGTTATTTTTTTAAACATTTGAATGACAGAACTAACTCAAAATTCAGAAACAACAATTTCAATTATATGTTATTCATTAAAAAAAGTTAGTGAGTATGCAGTGGTTGCAGCATTAAAATAGTGGTAGGAAAATTATATTTTTTCCTTTTTTCAGATGATACAAGATAATTTAACTATTGAGGCACTATCACAATTTAAGCGATTATAATTAGTACCAGAAATAAAAATGGTATTATTTTTTAATCTAACTGAAATATAAAAATAAAATTTATGTTAGCTTTAAATTAAATTATAAAATTTTTCTTTAAGTTCAAAAATATTTGGCTAGCACATTGTTGTTTTTTAGGACCGGGCGATCACTGAAAATCAACAAACTGGAAAAACTTACGTTGCTTCTTAATAGCATCAGTAATATGTGAAGGCCTTAAATTGCGCAGACGAGTCTTTCTAAACAACGTTATCATCAAAAATGTGGGAGGGAACACAATAAAATTAGCCATAACACCAACACCAATCTGAAATAAAAAAGTTTAAAGAGATACAATTTATTGTAAGTATACTTCCACGAAATATTGCTCACTAAATATCAAAATTTGCAAAGAAAAAGTTTCTGCTTATATCTAAATGGTGTCTAAATAATATTATATCTACTTATAGATATTTGATAAATGTTTTGGTATTTGAAAATTCGTGTATTTATTTATTTATTCTAACAGTGAGTAAATTCTGAAAATTTTATCTAAAATATTCTTATTAGCAACACACAAGATATGGTGCAATGTTTTGAAAATATATAATTTTCTTGTAATTTAAAACAAACAAAAATTTTAGCAACTGAAAGTAATTAGCAAGATGCAAAATTTTGCAATTGATATTTCAATTCTTGAGAAAGAGTCATTATTAGAACAGCTCGTAAAATAATAACGAATAATTTTAAATTTCTCCAGCACTCATATGGATGGTGTTTTCAGTAGAAATGTAAACAATAACAATCTCGAGCTTTATACCCGCTCTAGTTCTGGTTAGAAAGTTTGCAGCTGCTTACTACATGTCATTCTGCGAAGCGATATTTTCAAACGGATAATTTTGTTTTCAATAAAAGAAATAAATTAGATAATTTCTGAGCTCAAATCTGCCGTATTTCATAAGATATTAATGTTTGAAGTGAAAATTTGTTTTAGTTATTTAGAAATATATTGTTAAAAAAGGTGACATGGTGGCTAGATTTTGAATAACTCGCTTTTTTGGCAGTCTTGATATGGCCTCCTTCCATAAGTTTATTACTGTTTGCTCTTGTTGCAAGCTGTGCACCATCTTACGTTAGTGTTAACACTTTTAGCATTGTAAACACAAGTATTGTTAGCATTGTAAACACAAGTAATAAGTAATCAAATACATTGTTAGCAAGAATCAAAAAACACAATGATGCCAAATGGCTTTAAAATACAACGGAAACAGTAAGCCGGAAATTTAGGCGGTACCGAGCTTGCAGTGTTCCCTAGTGTAGAAAACACCATCCATAGGAAAAGTAACATATGCTTTCTAAGTAACTGTTATTAACATAGGTAATATAGATAATTGAAAACATTTATTTTAAACATGTTTCTTTTGTTTTTTCATTTTTTTCATGGGTTCTAAAATGAAATAATAATATGAACTAGACTTATTGAATCACATAGACTACAAATAGCAAACTTTTTATTTTAATTTTATTTTTTATAAAATAAAAAATTACCAGACAACAAATTGTGTAATAAATATAAAAATTCAGTTTAGCAAATTTCAATAATTTGTCAGACTGAGCTCATATTTAAATTACCTGCTCAGGACTGAGGGATAAGGGCCCAAGACTAAATGCTGATCCACTTGGTTTAGATGGTACTCGGCCATACCACATAGCATTCACTAACATTGACAAAAACAGCATAGCAAAGCAGCAAGTGACTCGTTGGGCTCTGGTAAATCGACTTTTAGGTGGTCTCATGAAAATAGAGAACCACAAGTGGCCATCAGACAAGTTCTTCTGTGTCTTTTGATGGAACAAGTGACCGAACTCAGTTGCTTCTCCTTTACCAGCAACAGGCAGGAGTCTGTCGATCTTGAATAAAATAAAATATTCTTTTTAAAATTTGGCAGAATAATTTTTTTGATAAGTTAACATGGTTACTTAGACTACTTGGGACAGTATATCACATATTGCTCGGAAAAAAAGAATGATTTTTTTGCTGTAATAAACAAAGTAAAATATGCAAAAGAAAAAAAATACCAACAGTATCCAATTAGTAATAAACATAAAATATTGTTCTAAACAATAATCAATAATTTACAACAATAAATTTAGAGTTTCAAATTAAACATAGCTGTAATATCGACGACCTCAGAACCTTATTGTTTAAAAACCAAATGTGTGCCAAATGTATAACCAAGACTTGATAATAAGAAAACTTCATTAGCTTCAAAAAATATGAAAAGTGAAAAAAGTCGAGATTTTTTTTAGCGATCAAAAATAGGTACCCCTTCGCAAGACTCACCAGTGGTGAATAAATAAAACAGAAAACATAAAGTTGTGAACGAAAATATGAAAAATAAATAAAAGTGAAAAACAAAACTAGAAAAACTGTTGTAGTCGAGAGTTGAAAGAGGAAACGAAAAATAAAAAAATAGATAAAGGTAAAAAAAAACAAAGCTAGAAAACCTGTAGTGTGTGAGATTGACAAATCAGGCCAAGATTATTTCCACATGCCATCCAGAAGTAGCGGGGAACTCATATTATTAACAAGGGTATTGGCATTCATATGGATGAAACAAGCTATAGGAGAGCATCTGCTTTACAAAAATAGAAATCCCAATAAAGACTAACAACAAAAGATAATGAGTATTTATTACTGAAAACTTCACAATAAATGCTTGAATTAGCAACCCACAGCTCCAAACCAGGCTTTGCATATGTAATGATGTAAATATTGCAGAATTAAGAATATTCCTAACATTTTATTAAACTTCGTAACTTTGATGATAATTTGCTCAAGGCATTTTTGGAAAATATTCCTGATAAATTTCTACAGTTTCTGAAAGAATGCCATTTGCATCCCCAAAAATATTGCAGATCAGCCTTCCCTGTATTTAAATATTGCTTGCCTATCTGTAAAAACATAGAATGATAGGCTCGGCGAAACGTCACGGTACACCCACACTAAAGGAAATGCCTTAAAGAAATGCAGATGGCTCTTTGTAGGACCTCATAATCTATTGCGAAAATTGCATGTTTTGGTAAGTTCACTTCATACAGTGGTGGTTATTAGTTATGTTATTATTCCATTATACTCAGTATAATGGAAGTCAAAATTAACACGAATCTGAGGTCTGCAATTCCAATTAATGAAAACAACCAATGACTAAAATGTTTGAATCAGTAACTAAAATATGCATTCATTTTGGCAAAATTATTTTAGAATTATATTTTCTACTGATAGTAATGTAAAACATATATGTTCTAAAGGAAACGTAAAATAAGTAGGATATTTTAATATCAGTGCTGTAGTCGGTTTGCACCGACCACAGTGCTGACATAAAAAATCCTCAGTGCTAGACGGATCACGTGTTAAGAGTCCCCTTGCCATCAGGCTAACCGCGGAAGGTTTTTCTCTTCATGCAGCGGAAATCCGGGTTAGTTCCATCAAAAAGTCCTACATGCAGGCAAAATTCTCCCAATACTTAGAAGTTCTCTTGTCTTCTGGATTGGGTTCAAAATTACAAAGCTACAGATTCAAACATTAGTAGTCGTAAACCCAAAATTGGGTCGGCTGTTCAACGACGAATATAAAATAAAGTAAAACAAAGTTAAAGAATTTTTAAATAAATTTAACATTAAATTTGAAAAACATATAAATTTCAATTTCAATGATAAGTAGAAAAATAAATATTTGTACCAGTCCATCTTCCTTTTCTACAGCCAACCATCTGTTGCAAACAAACTCATATCTTGCATTTGTTTGCACATCTCGAATCACAACAAAATTTAAAAGCCATGACTTGAATTTTCCTTTCCCAGCATTATCATGCCAAATTCTCAAATAGTTCAGCCGTCCAAGTGGCCTAATATTGAAAAAAAGATATTTTATTTAGTAAAAAGTAGGATGAGTTATACACATGTAACCAATATTCAGCCCTTTGCCGAATATTCGGTTGACTGAATATTCGGCCCTTTCGCTAAATATTCGACAAAGTATCATTTGGGAAATTATTTTTTGGCAAAAGGTTTTGTTGCGGGAAATTTTAATAGATTTAATAAAGAATAATCCAAAATCGTATTTTTGACAACACATTATTAGAAATAGTTTTTACACATATTTGTTCATCTCTAAAACTTGTTAAATTATGTTCTGAAACACAGAGAAAAGCAAAATTGAAGAATTGAAATTAGAACCATGAGTTTTGAAATGCTGCTTTTTTTTTTTTTTTTTAAATATATTGAGGCAAATCAATTTCATTGTTTTTTCAACACTTTATGTTTGAAAAATTGAGAACTGTTTTTTTGTTTCTTGTTTCATTTTTGCTTGTTTTTTCTGTTCTAAATAAAACGAAGCATGTTAACAGAACATTTCGAATGGATTCTCTTATTATCACTTTTTTTCTTGTACAGTAAGACAACTAGATTACGGTAAGATAACTAGTAACATATAAAACAGATTCTCAATGTTAAAGTTATATTTCAGAACTAAGAACAACTTTTTCTGTTTCTCCAGTGATCTTTTAATAAACTTTTCTTTTTATCAACATTTTCAATATGACAGCATTTTTTAAACAGCGTTTTGAATTAACATTATTCTTTTATGGTTACTTTTTTCTAAAAATACGGCAATGTGGAAAAGTTAAATTAAGATCTTTAGCATTAAATCTTAAGTTTTTTAAGATTGGTTGTGGTTTCTATCTAACTTTTTCTTTTTCAAAGAACTCGTGTTTGTATTATGATGCGACAATTAAGAGGGTTTCTACAAGACTTTAATCTTTACTTTTTCCTGAAAATACGGTAATCGGAACACTGAAATGTTTAGCTTTAAAAAAAATCTAAAATTAAGATAGACTTTTATTTTTTCTGTTTTGCTTCTGTAAATAATCATTGTTTATTTATAGGCGTTTTTGAGATAGTACCGTAATTTCAAAACCATTTTTGATAGACATTACCTATTAAAGTTTCATGGATATTTTTTTTTTGAAAAATATAAATTTCAGCATTAAAGTTTTGTTTTAAAATTTAAGAGGATATATTTTATTCTATGTCTTTTATTTTCAACTTCACAGCTTTAGTTCTTTTTTTTTTTTTAGCTGTTAGCCAGTTTTTTTTATCTTAAGTATTTCTAATCATCTTAATATCTAATTACTTTAAACATTTCTATTTAAATATTTTCTCTTTACCCCTAACCAATAACACAACTAAATTTTGATAATTTTTCAATAAAGACTAAACCTATTTCTACATCAAAAATATGATATTTATTAATTATTATTTTTTTAAAAAAATGTTGCATTCGGTATTTGGCCCAGTATTCAGCATTCCTACATGTAACCCTCAAAAATTTTTTTCAGTTAGAAAGAACATAACACAAAATCTAAAAAACATAGAGAAATAATGCATTAATAAAATTTTAAAATATATTGGCAAAAGTTTACATTTTTTAGTAACAAATGCAGGGTGCAGAGGTAGGACCATTAAGGAGAATTTTCTCAGAGACAGTTGTGACATTAAGGAATTACATATGTGTAGTAGATATTTATTATTATCGCATATGTTTTATATACGAGAGTAAAAAACATACAATACATTCTGTTCACGAAGAAAACTATAAGGAAATATTAACTAATTTTGAAAGCAAATCATTAAGAAAAAGTGTATACATTGTTAGCGATTTGTTGACATGCTAAAAACATAGTAAAAAATGTACATATATTTGCAACTCACACACAGTGTGTGGGTAAACAGTATCTTAGTTTAAATTTAAAATTACTAGGTAGAGGCATGTGTTTTTAGACACTAGTATGGTCATCACATAGGTATATGCTGCATATTAGTATAGCTAGGAACACAGTATCTTAATTTAAATTAAAAATTACTAGGTAGAGGCACGTATTTTTAGATTAGTATGGTCATCACAAAAGTATCTGCTGCATTTTAGCATAGATAGGAACACAGTATCTTAGTTTAAATTTATAAATTATTTGGTAGATGCATATCTTTTTACCTTGGTGTGGCCATCACAAAAGTATCTGCAGCATTTCGCCTAAATAATTTCCTCTTTGGATCCTCCAAAGTTCTGACAACAGTTTCATCATCGTCTCCAGATAAGATAAATTGCACCTATTTAAAAAAAAAACGTTCAAATATTAAAAATTCCAAAATATTTTTACTAAAAACTTGAATATCTACATAAATTTGAAACAATTGTGACATATAATTTTAGAAACCAATTCAGAAAATGTCAACTTAAATAAAAATGTGATAATAAAACAGGAAAAAATTTTTTTTAAAGAAATTTTTTAGAAATAACAAATAAACAGATAAAATAATAATTTGACGAACTTTTGAATCTGTAGCTGCAGCATCCTTGTTCCCAGTAAAGACTATCATCTCATATAAATATTTGTCATCAGAATCATTATCAGGCAATGGTGTAGCTCCAAGCTGAAATTATAAAGACACAACCTTTATATTTAACAAATGTTAAGATGTTCCTAATATGTTATCATCATTAGCTAATTAGTTTTAAATATTGATTAAATTTTGTTCAATTCGAAAGTCAAAAACAGATTCAAAAAGTAGCTTTGTTCTTATGTTGAATAAAAATAACATAAATAAAAAGATTGCATACAAATTTTAATTAATAAATACATAGATACTTTTGCAAAGATGTCCTGCACTCTAAAGTAAACTCAACTATACATAAAACCTAAATTTTTTTTTTCTACATACGTAATCTGTCTTATTTTCTTTTAATTTTAATAATAAGTAAATATTAAAACAAAGAAATTGATCCCAATTTAAATCCTCAACTAATGATTAGATTTAAATTGCAATTATTGATTTTTGTTTTACTGTTTTTCTCTTTTTAAAACAATAAACTAATTTACAAAGACACATTTATCAAAATTTTATTTTGATTGGAATATGATGATATTAAGGTATGGATGGATATAATATTAAGGCACTTTTTTGGACTACCCTTTCTTAATAAGTTTAAGTAAGTTTATTTAATTGCTAATAAATAAGTTAATTGCTAGTATATGAGTTTTAAGAAATGGTTTAGTGCACTTTTTCCAATTATCTAAAGAAACAAAACTATGATATGCTTAAATAGGAAAAGAACGAAATTGGTTTTAGTCAGTTAGTAATTATAATATTCAATACCTAAATGATATTTATTTTTTAAAAACTACCCATGAAAATAAAATTAAGCTATTAATTAAAAATAAAAGCATAAAATACTAATATAAATGAAGATTTCAAAATGATATTACATTAAATGCTTTATTTTTTAATAAAATACAATTGCTTACATTAAAATTTGGAATTATTAAACTGCTATTTGATCCTTAACTAATAATGAAAATTCATACCTTTTCTCTGTCTTTGATATCTTGTCGCCGAGCCCATGCCAATAGACCCAGGTATATCAGCATTATGTTAATTATTGTCATATAGATTGTCACATTATCGGCAAAACCAGCATTGGCAAAAACATAAGAGAAATCTACTGTATTTGGTGCAACAAAGAACCCTCCACCAAAGGATGTCAGATGGTTGCATTTACATTGTGTAAGAGCTGCTGTGGCATTCTCAACCTATTGGGAAAATATTGAAAAGAAATATTTAATTAATCGAAATATTTAATACAATATATATAAAAAGAAATATTTAATTCAAAATATAGAAAAAAAATTTGAATTAAAAAAATAATTAATATACATTAAAGTATTTATAATTCTGTGCATCCCTAACTGGCTTTTAAAAGATACGCATTTATGTGTAAACCTCTTAGTTAATTAGAATTAAAGCAATTTTTAATTATAAAAATTAATTAATTAATTAATTTAATTGTAAAAAGGATACTAAATGCCAAGGTTTAAATTAGGTGGTGCAAACAGCAAAATGAACCTAACAGGATATAAACAAAAATTATTTTGCACACTTTAAACCAAGGGCTGTTCAAATATTATCTAACCATCTTTTTGGTGTTTCTTAATCCTGTTCCTTTGGTGTTTCTTGGTTTTGGAAGTTCGAGCCTGCCCTAGCCTGAATAACTTAAATCCGAGCTCAAGATACTTAGATTATTTAAAGTTTAAGATATACATTGGATGAAGGCCAAATTTTGCAATCTCATCATTTGGCCTTTGATGTCTAAACAAGGAAACTAGTAAATCAAAAACTTTTCTATTACCAACCTGAGAAAGAAAGAACGAAGAAAAAAACTGAACCAACTGAAACTCTGATATGATTAAAACAAAAATTAAAGAAATATTAAGCTAAATAAAAGTCATTTGACAACTAGCCATCAACTAGTTTGACAACTATTCATATAAAAGTCATTTGACAACTTCATAAAGCAAAAACACTGAACAAAAGTAGATTACTGATTTTTTATACCTTATAAATTTTAAATTTTTTATATTTAATAATGGAACCAAATGCTTCCTTATAGGTTGCAAAAAAGTTTATGAAAATTTTATAATGAATTTTAGCTCTCCTAAAGCCTTTTACAGTAAACGTGAGCTGAGATTCTCTCATCCCTAACCCATATATTAATTAGAAAAAGGAATGCTTCTAATTTTTTTTTCTTTTGTAATTCTTATCTTTTGATGGGTGGTTAGGTATTGTTTATCATATTCAATTATAGATCCAATTAAAGAATTTAGAAACTTCATTTTATCCACAGCCTATTTATGACTGATAAAAGTGGGATGAAGTAAGTGTAAAGTTAGTTTGATGAAGTCAAAAACTTTTCTACATTCCGTGATCTGCAAAAAACCACAATTCTATGATTTTCAAAACTATGCAAGCAAGCTAACATCAAGAACAGTATTTTAAGATCAAAATTTATCTATAAAAAATTGCATTATGCGCCACAGATACAGATACACATTAGCTTAGTTACAGTCTCAACCCCATTGAGAAATTCCTAAAAATGTGTTGATTCTATACATTGTTTCCCCACAGAATAATATGAAATCAGTTTATTCTACTGTGAAGTAAGTATGCATGCTCAAATATTACATTTTACAGGGAAAGAGTGTGATCAATAAAATTTTTATTTATACTAGGAAGTCAGGCATGAACGTGAGAAAAAAAAGTCTGAAAATACCTATCAATTTAAATCATGAAAAAATAAATAAGTGTGAGAAACTATTATGCAAAAAAGAAAACATTTAAATCATTTACATACATATTTAGAAAAAATATGATAGTGTTCATTGATAGACCAACAAACTTTTAAGTTTTAAATAAAAATGATGATTAAAGATAGTAAAATAATAATTACGTAAAACAACATTATAATGTAGGAATATTAAGAAAAAATAGACATTTAACATAGTATTTTTTATAATTTTTTTTTTTTAATGTTTAGAAATATGGAAATTTTGGTAAAAGGACAAAATGTCTGAAAAAACCTATCAATTCAAATTATGAAAATGTAAAAAAAAGCATGTGAAACTATTTTACACTAAACGAAAACATTTAAATTATTTACTTACTTATTTAAACTTTTTTTACTATATTTGTACATTGACAGTCCAACAAACNAAAATAATTAAAAGGATATTCCGATACAAAAATGTTACATACAAACTTATTTGGATCAGCAAACTGTGTCCGTGCATAGCGTATAAGCATATTGATAATTATTACTTGGCCCCATTCCTCAACATCAACTAAAAGATTGCATAGCTTTCGGTAATTTTTATGTATCAAGTCTATTCTTTCTGGACATACTTCTTCAAAAGCCATCACAGCACTACCCATCACCAGCTGAAGTTTAAAAACAAACATTAAAACATGAAAAGATAACATTCAAGAATTACAAAAAGAACCTGAAACTTTATAAAATAACTTTGAATTAACCAAACATTAGCTTGAGGAATATTTTCAAATTTAGGAAAATGCATGAAGCTATTTTCACAAAAATAAATCATTTAGATATTTATATGCTTGAAGTACTTTTTTTTTTTTACTGTACCTGTACAATGACATTCGAACAAACTAATAAGCTTAATAATGATTAAATAGAATAAAATAATAATAAAGCAAAACAAAACAATAAAGTAAACCAAATAATGCAGAAATATTAAGAAAAAACAAACATTTAACGTATTGTTTTCCTTTATAAATTTTTTCTAAGGTATAGAAAACCGGAAATTTTGCCACAAGACTGAAGAATCTCATATCTGTAAGGCTTTGAGAAAAATAATAATAGGTCGGGTACCCCCGCCCACCGTCAATTTCATATGTATAGAATATTTTTTCAAGTCAATGGTCAAGTTTTTTCAATTGGACATTAACTGTTATATTAAAAAAAGATTATTTTCAAAGTTTCAAGTATTTATGCAGCTGGTATCATGGTCAACAATAGTTTTGAAAATATGTTGAATATAGTAGTCACAAAATTAAGAAAAATCGGTTGAATTTTGTGATAAAAAAGCTAATGAGGTTTATCTATTGTCTGTCAATACATTGGTCATTTGCATTTACACCTGAAAAAAACAGTAAAAAAACATAATTTTTGTAACTGGGCGAGGCTACAGACTCATTTTGAAAACAGATGAAAAACATGTTTTTTTAAATTTCTATTTTTTAAGCTAAACTATTCCTTTTTTGGTTCATTCTTTTTGCATTATTTAAGATGATAAAACAATAGAAACATACAAAAATATTGATTATTACTCAATATTAAACAGAAATATAAGCAATACTCCTTAAGTGGGCGGGGCTACGCGACTCTCCCTTACTTAACATTATAATAATAATAAAATATAAAAACTTACATAGCAACCAGCACCAGACCATATTCTCAAATCGTAATTATAAAAGTAACATCCAGAAGTATAAATCCTCACAGAATAATTGGTAGAAAAGTCCCGAACAGCTTCACCATGAGTGAAATTAACAGAGCTGTCAAATGTCATTTCATCGGGTATGGAATTGTTTTGAGCTGTGCTATTGGCCTCAATTATACCAAGATAAAAGAAACCGGTTCTGTTTTGAATAACTTCATTATTTAAGAAGAGATCATAGGTTCCTAATGAAGAAAAAATAGAATTAGTTTTGATAATGTTACTTTTAAATAGAACAATTATAATTGAAATAGCTTTTAAATTATATTTTAGAACTAACCCTTTGAAGCGGAATTTTTATTAAACATATATTTCATACTTTTTTCATTATTTTGTATTGATGCAGGTCAAAATAAATAAGCAATATTAAATTTAGCATTTTAATAATTTATGGTTATGAAGTACAGCATGAAACACTGGTGACTTTTACTGTGTTAAAGGTAAAATCTTCTAAGCACAACTCACTTTCAAACTATAATTTTCCAAATTTGCACTTAGTCAGATCTTAGACAAAAATTTATTCATCTTTTAAATTTCTTTAATATACAAAAATAATTATTGATAAGTTTTTTAATACGAATTTAAAAAAAATTTTAAACAACTTCTTTTGGATTTTAATATTTTAGAACAATTATAATTCCGATAACCTAACAGAACTATTAGATTGTTTTTTATAACTGAAAATGCCAAAATATATTTGCACTTTAGCCTCAGAAAAAAATATATAAAAGGGTCACCAGTGTCCAGTTTGCATCAAAGGGTTAAGAATAAACTAGAAGAAATACAATGGAAAAGAATATCATATTGTTGCAGTGGTCAGAAATACCATGCTACAAGTAATATGTATTCGTTACTTTATTTATAGTTTATAGTGTAAAGTGCTATCTTTTAAAGCATTAGTATGAGCAATCTGATACGGGGAAAAAGAGGGGAAAAAACGGTAGTAGTTTGAAGCTATTTTTGGCAACTACTTTTCTAAATTATGATAGTTTAGTAAAGAAACAAGCTTTAAACACAACTAATTTTTGGAATCTGATTGATGCGAATCCTACATAAGTACATCAGCAGTCACAATGAAAAAGTTCGCAGGGACCAGCATTTTAGAATAAGAATTATTTATACCTTTATTTTCAATAGCAGGCTTATGAAAACCTAAAGCACACTTATGTTTTCTGATATCTATTAGTGGAAACAAAGGTATAATGACTAGCTATTATGTAAAATGACTAGTATTTAATCTAGTCATTAATAGATAATAAATCACTTTAATCACACCATATCCATGCTATGTTTTTTACATGCTATTTAAATGTTTACTCATGACCGAAATAAAAAGAATATTGGGTATGGAATTTCATTGGAGAAAAACATATTTTGCTCTGTGTTTCCTGTCAATAACAGCAAAAAAATTGAAGGTTGAAAGAAAAAAAACGTAAAAGATGGTTTAGAATAAATTGGCTCTCATAAACATGACGAGATCTTTCATATTAATTTGCTAAGTTTATAAAATAAACAATTTATTATTTATATAAACATAAATTGATAATATAATATTTGCTATTCTAAAATGGATGTGTCAGAGGCTCTTCAATAACTGAACCTTTTGAGTTTATTTGATTAAGGTTAATTGAAGGTCTTAATTTAATTGTGGGCAATTTCTACCTTTATTCAGTTTCCCAAACAGAACATTAAGTTTAAATTAATATATAGTATATTCTATCATGTCTGATTTAATTGGTGTCATTGTTTAGTAGCAGAAATAAGCTGGGGTTGTACTAGTTTTAAGGTAAGATAGGGAGAGAATTATTTTATATTTATGAAAATAAGTAAAGGTTTCAAAATATTTATTTATTGCCAGACAGTTCAATGAATGATTGAGGTAAATGCTTAAATTAATTAATAATAATTCATTTGGTAAAATTTGAGTTGTTTCAATTTCAATAAAAAGCAATTTACATCAATTTTGAATAAGCTTAAAGTCTAATCTAAAAAAAATTTAAGCCTAAAATTTTTTTTAAAAAATATTATTTAAAAATAGAGGCATTAACTGTGAATTATACTTGACAAATTATAATTAATTTAACTTGAATAACAAATTTACATAAAGCTTCTAAAATACTAAAAAAACTTTCTTCGAAAAATTTTTAATGAAAACTTCATTTGAAAATAAATCAATTTTTTAAGTTTCGTAGCACATAAATATTTGTCTCAGCCAATGAATATTAACCTTTGAATTAGCTTCAATGAACATTAGGCAGATATTACAGGACAAAATCACTTAATCCCATCTAAAAACTGAAATATGCACTTACCATTCTCTTCTCTAACATTAGCCATATTAATCATCAAATCATAAGAATGTAACACTGGCTTCACTCTGTGCTTTACAAAAATAAGAAGATCCACTTCAGGGTCAGATGGAGTAATTTCAACATTAACAGCTGAATCAGCTTTCTCAACAATGAATTGATGATAGACCATTTCTTCATTCCACTTGATTTGCGCGTAAACAAAATTTGGTTCAGGAAGTGCCTGCATATATATAAAATAACTTGAAATACAAAAAAAAAAGAGATAATGTAATCAAACACTTTATTTCATAAAACAAATTTGAGAAATAATATATTATGATTACAAACTAAATTAGCATGAAAAATCACATTATCAACTCTTAATTTTTGATGTTAAAAATGTGTCATTCAATTAGCTATTTCTCAAAATGACAGTTGTCTTCCAAAAACAAGCATTTTAGGTCGGTTATTTTCCAATTGTGTTATTTAAAATTAAATAGAAAAATTAAAAACATTTTAAAAAAAATTTATAGCTACAATTCATAGGATAAAAACAAAAATATTTCTATGAATACTAAAAAAATATAAATAAATAAAATGTTAATTGAGTTGTTGTTAATTGAGATGAAATTAAAATAAAAGATACACATTTAAAAAGAAATGCTAGTAAATGGTTACACTCTAAACATATCAAAGTCACAAACATTTTGTTAATAAAAAAGGTATCCAATTTTTTTTTAAAAATATATATATAATTAAGTACATTTAAGGCTTACATAAAAATCATCTAAAAGTTCAAACAGTTGTTACAGTATCAAATAGGTAGAATTTGTGCTACATAGACTAAAGTGAAAAACAATCTGAATAAAGCACAGATTAAGTACAGAAGTAGACATGCTATAATTTTGGTTCTCTAAACAAGTACCTTTCTCAATGCCTAAACAATAAAAATTTTGGCGTTTAGACACTGAGGTGGTTCTTGGTGATACCGAGGAAAGTTCTTGTCTAGAGAAACAAAACTATAATATGTCACTTCTGTACTTGATGTGTTTCACTTTAGTTGTAACAGTAGTTTAATAATTTTTGTTTAAGGGGAATACGAAATATTCCTTTCACTGTTTCAAATTGCTTATAAAAATGCTTGTTACTGTTCAGTTAGTGAGACTATTTAGAAATGATATATAAAATTCTAAAAATTTATTTCAAAAACCATGGTGCGTAGCCAAATTATTCAACAAAAAATAAGCACCTTTTAAGCATTTTTCAAGCACCCAAAAAATATTTTCAAGCACTTTAAAAAATATCATATTTAGGCAGGGTTGGACAGTTTTTGAAAATTGACGGTTTTATCTTGTTTCAACCATCATGTCAAAAAAAAAAAAATTCTGGCATTGTTTTAGACAATTGTTAAAAATCATGAAGTTTTGAATCATATAAAACGAATGGCGTTTTCATACTCTGCAGACTGACAATATGCGGAAATAGATTAGGGTTGAATGAATTGTGAAAACATTGTATAGAACAATGTGAACTGTTTTTTTCCTTTTTTTTTGCATAATTCGTAGCGAAAATCAACATTGTAAGGGAAAAATCTCATCTTGAAAAATGGAAAATTAAGCACTTTTTAAAAACACCCAATGAAAAAAGCACCTTTAAGGGCTTTTAAAAAAGGAAAATAAGCACCTTTAAGCGATTTTTAAAACCGCTATGCACTATGAAAAACATATGAAATGATACATTTATCTGAAAAACCGTGATATTTCATTATGTAATGTAGATAAAGCTATTTAAAAAAAGATACATACAATTAAACTTTACATAATAACAAACTTTCATACCGGTTCTGCTCCTTCTTTCTTGCTTCCTCTGGGAACTTTTATTGTAAACCAGCCACTACTATTATCGATATGCATCATATCTAAATTTTCGTCAAGCATTATCAGCTGCATAGTTTTTGTGTCATTTGACAAAAGATCAACACTATCACCATAAGAATCCAGAATTGCAGGCCAAGATACAGCCTAAAAAAATTAAATTATAAAAAATAAATAACGATAATAAATTATTATTATGGAAAAAATCAGTAAAAATTAAATTATATAAGAGATAGACTAAATAACTAAGAATTCAGCTTTGATTTTTTAAAATTTTTTACATAAAATATCCTTGTTTTATTTATAAACCTTAATAATGACATATGAGGGATATTTAATAACAACAAATATATATTTTATCTATGCATAGATAGTGATAATCGGTCTTGGCAGGCAATCAAAATTTTAGAGATTTCTCTATCAATTGAAAATTAATCAACTATATTTTGTATATAATAGCCTACATAAATATAACTTGAACTTATTTTATGTCCTTATTAAAATTTTATATTTTTGTAGCCGCCATTATTTGCAAAACAATATTCTTTTTTAAGAATATGCTCAGTGCACAAAAAGGAATTAAATTACTATATCTAAAGGGATTATGTAAACAGGTAAACATTCATTGTAAATGGTTGAAGAGACAAGTTAATTAACCTGTGGGGATGCCAGTCAATGGTATACTAAGTTGGCTGCTAGAAAAAGAATCTGAAACCACAGCACTATTTGCCAACTCACCTGTAATTTGCATTGATATTTAGATTCACTGCTTGCAAGGATTACTTGCAGCTCTAGCCAAAATGCTATTAGATTTTTTTTTATAATAGAGTGAAACCTTTGCAAGTTGACCACTTGCAAGGGAGAAACTTTAGTGGTCAAGTATGAAGAAAATGCTTAATTTTTTTTTTTTTTTTTAGATGGCCACTCAAATCGGGTTTCAAATTTCCCTGATTTTTCCAGGTTTTCCAGTTAAAAATTCTAAAATTTCCAGGTCAATATGCTTTTCTTCCCTCATAAAGTTTAGGATTGGTACAAGAAAGGTGTTAATATTATAAAGTATTTTATTTAAAATATTATTTTTTTAATGTTATTTTATCATCTTCGACTCATGGGATAGAGTGCTAGCCAGGTCATCTTATGGGAATGAGGTGACCTGGAAAGGTTCTCAATCCTTTAAGAAACCATGGACAAACAGGGTTATAATGAACCAAATTTTGATGCAAGCGAAGCATTGCTAAGTTGATGGTATTTCAACTGTTTGGCAATAAACTTTCGTCTAAAAGTGGGTATAACAGTTGGTAAAATAATTTTAATTTGGAAAATTAGTAATTTAAATTAGCAAAATTAAGAAAAATCAAAAAAAAAATTCCAGCTTTTCTTTAAAAAATCCCTGATTCTTCCAGGTTTCTGTCCAAATTTCCCTGATTTTTCCAGGTTTTTTCCAGTATAAAAAAATTCCCTGATAATTCCAGGTTTTCCAGGTGGGTGGCCACCCTGAACATGTTATCCTTATATAAATATACCATGTTATTTATATTGTTTTTTTCAATTATATATTTTTCATGTATTACAAAGTAAAATAATGATAAATATAAGTTATTTTAACCTTATTACAGTTGCAGAATGAATTATAATTTTTTAAATATAAATTTAATATTAAACTCATAAGTTTAAAAAAAAAGTAGATATGTTAATTTTGCTAGGTGTGTATAAGTTATATTTTATAAATATTTTTTTTCAGATGTATAAAGACTTGAATGCATATGTTATAAGGAAACTTGCGATATTGATTGTCTTATCTTATAATTTATTTTGTTATGTTTGCAAAGATGTGTTACAAAAGCCCTAATAAGTATCTCATATGGTTAACTCATAAAAAACATTAACGTAGCTTTTAATACTATTTTAGAAAAATTTTAATATGTAACACAACAGTATAGAAAATTTTCTTAAAATGTTTTTTTCCTGTTCAACTTATGAAGGGTTAAGGATAGTAAAGTCAACCCTGCTTAAAGGAAATGCAATGGAATACCATTGGTTCCAGCCAACTCTATTCCATTAAACAGGTTATTCAATTAAAAGGGAGTGCATTACTCAGTTTTAAATGCTACATTTTAACTAAATTATTCTTTTTAATGGTATCTAATGCATAGTATAATGTTCCGATTAAATAAACTCAATTTTATGATCAATAAACAATTAAGAATAAAGTGGTCAGTGTTAGTATCAATAAATATAAATGTCATTTAAAGTTATTTAAGGCTAAATTTATTAGGATTATGTCATTTAAAGTTATTAAAGGGACAGATTTTGATTCTTGACCCACAACATTTGGGGGGTTGGTACAATTCGGAAAATAAGACCTTAAAAGCTTAGACGGGAGTGCAGCTGAAAATTTAGGCATCTTAATGGTAATTTTACTTTTCTCACATTAAAAAGTTCCAAAAGAGTCATATTTTTAAATTTTTATTTCTCAAAAACTATTTGACCGATTCTGTTCCCTATTAGATTTTTTGATTTAAAATTACAAAATCTAGCCTTATAATTATTCTTGAATTTACAAAATTTTTAAGCATTATTTAAATAAATAAACAAAAAATCTTCATTGTTTCTTTTTTACACGGAATTATCTGTGAATATACAATGTTTAGAGCAATGAACAAAATTAATTTGGTTATTTTTAATAATTCCAGAGATATGGTGAAATACCAGGGCTCAAAGAAAGTCAGAAATTTTATCCGTCCCCGAGGACGGCTNGTGCAGATGAAAATTTAGGCATCTTAATGGTAATTTTATTTTTCTCACATTAAAAAGTTCCAAAAGAGTCATATTTTTAAATTTTTATTTCTCAAAAACTATTTGACAGATTCTGTTCCCCATTAGATTTTTTGATTTAAAATTACAAAATCTAACCTTATAATTATTCTTGAATTTACAAAATTTTTAAGCATTATTTAAATAAATAACCAAAAAATCTTCATTGTTTTTTTTTACACGGAATTATCTGTGAATATACAATGTTTAGAGAAATGAACAAAAATAATTTGGTTATTTTTAATAATTCCAGAGATATGGTGAAATATCAGGGCTCGAAGAAAGTCAGAAATTTTACCCGTCCCCGAGGACGGCTTGTCCAACAATGCACCCGTCCTCCTTTGAAACTAACCCGTAGCTTCTAAATAAATAAAAATATCATTTTCTCTTATTTATTACAAACATTTATATAGATTGCACAATGAATTAGTAGTTACTAGAATTACAAATACTAGGTTACTAATAGTAAAACCTAGTATTTCTTTTATGAAATAATTTATTTCTTTTATGAAATAATTTAAATGACAAAGGTCAAGTTATCTGGAATGTCAATTTATCCGAAGGTACTTCGTTTTTTAAATGAAACAAATATGACGTTAGCCAGTTCCACAATCAAGTCAATGATTTACAGAGGTTTCTGCACAGAAATATGAAAGGGGTTTTCCATTTAGGTGGATGTTCATAATTGCGTTTAACACTTCTTGTTTAAGACCAGTATGTAATATGTTTTTTTGTAAGCTCATTGCTGAAAAGCCTCTTTCAACCACTGCAGTACTCCCAGACAGAGAAAACATCAATTGCAAAGAGCGCAGTATGATGCTGTATTTCTAGATTAGAGGGTCATCTTAGAAGTGAGGCGCTAGACTCTTGTAAGATAACAAAAATTGAAAATGTATCACGAATATTAACGGGAAAATGGCCGCCCGCGCGGACGGCGGATTCGAGAAATTTGTTGTCCGCAGGGAATTTTTGACCGCCGAGAACGGGCGGATGGGTGGTTTTTCGAGTCCTGTGAAATATGTAAAAATAGAAATTAATATTAAGTATCCAAGCTTTTGACCACCAAACTTTTGGAACCACAGTTACAGATTACAGCAATCCCCATTTTTGAGGATCAAGAATACAAATCTTGTGAAAAAAAATAAAGGCATGTTTACTCCGAAAAAGTATGTTTTTTTTTTTCATTTTGGTAACTTAATATCATCTGCACATATTAAATAGTATATTTAAGTCTAGCCTATGAAACCATTAAAATCACATCATAGTATAGAATAGTCTGATCATTAGATCAGAAATTATTACAGAGCTCTTTTTTTTCACAGTGCACTTCATATTTTCATAGCTTACCATTACACCTAGAGTCTCATTACCCCAGCAACCTATTTCAGAGAGAATATCACAAACTTCAGGGAAAACATATACGGCATCACCATGTTGAATAGCACGATTGCTCAAAGTACCACCTTTAAACCTAAAAAAAAGTATCTCAAAATTTTTATAAAATTAAAACAAAACAAAAAATTAAACATTTTTAACATAAATCAGAAAAGAAAAAGTGACGAAATAATGCACAACGAAACGACCGCTAAGTACCATAAGTCTCACTGAAAATAATTTACAAGAAACGTTAAATCCCAACGAAATAAAGTGCACAGCTATCACAAAATAACGCTCTGCAGTTAGACGAAATCAAAATCGTCTTCATCAGCACGGTGACAGCGTTAGCATAGGCAAGGATCCTCACATGTTAAATCATTATATCGGAAACCGCAACCGTTGTCTTTCATGGTGGCTTAAATTAGATTTCTGATGCATCGCCTAAAACGAAAGTCACTATCAGAGGCTTAAATCAGATTTATGATGCATCGCCTAAAACGAAAGTCATATCGGCCTGCCGATATATGCATTAAATCGATATTTTGCGATGCATTGATGTATAGCCAAGTCCTAATCCTGAGACCAATAGTCAAATTAATATCTTATTTCAAAGAGATTGATTGATGTATTATAGGTAAGTTCTAAAAGTATGACATACTCTAGATACCAAAAAAATTTATAGAAGTCAAGACATCATAGAATAAACAGCACCATCAAAAAATTTAAGTATTGACAGCTGCATAAAGAATTAGTCTACTTTTAAATTAAAAAACTACAAATGCACAGTAATAAATATACTTAAACCAAGACTCAAATTAATATATATTATTTCAAAGAGATTAAGTGATTTAAATTTACAATTGAGGGACTATAGGTAGATGTTTCAACTCTAGTCTTCAGCACAGGAAGTGTTATCTCTAAACATTCGAGCTTCATTTAGGTTCAGTAAATATGCATAGTTGAAAAAAATATATATATTTATTTACTTGTAAGTTTTGAATTCATACCCAGTATTTCTTTACAAAACTGCTTTTTTTAAAAAGTTTGAAACTATGAAAAGTTTTTAAAAAATCTTCGATAATGCTTTCATTTGGATGTTTGAAGTTTACGTTAATTGCAATGTCATTAATTAGGTAACTGTGATTTTTTTTAAAATTTCTACATCTAACTAGTTATAAATTGAATTTAGCATTTTATAAAAAGTCCTTGAAGGAAAAGATATTTATTGTTCCAGGTGTATAATTGAGTATTAATACCTGAATTTCAAATTAAACAAAATTTTGTTTAGTATATATCTGAGAGGAGTGAAAAAATAAGTAACTCTATCAAAAGCAAAGCACCAGAAAACTTATATTTTTTAACAAACATTATGCACAAATTAAAGATAATTTCATCACTCACATTGATATAGTAAGACCAAGCCCACTTGGAGCCATAAATTCCATAGGTTTTTCTCCAACAATTATATTTTTTAACATAGTCAAAACTAAGCGTATAGTAAGATCAACAATGGTTCGTATGTGGCCTTCAGACTAAAATAAAGAAATTATTAACATTTAATGAAAGGAATTACATCGAATCGTAAAAATATCATTAGAGGAAAGAATAAAACAGTTTGATTAATATTTTCCAGCTATATGTTAAAACTATATTTTGTTGAATCACTCAGTGGTATTTTCATGCTAAGTATATTGGTATTTATAGGGCAAAATAAAGAAATTTTTCCACTAGTCAGTTTTTAGTTGTAACATTTTTGACAATGAACACTTTTTAAAATATGTGGTCACTTTTCAAAAATTAAAAGCTTTTAAATTATTAAGAAAATTGTTGACATAATAATGTAACATACTTCTACTGAAGCATTTCTCAAAACATGGTAATGCAATGTTCATTTCTATATTGAAGAAATATTTTAAAAAATAAGGATGAAATAAAATAATTTTCAGAACATTAAAAAATATTCCAAATTCTATATTTTTTAAAAAATAATAATAATAAAATGAACAACAAAAATAGTGTCAATTGAGTGGCAACTGACAGACAATTTTTAAATCATCATTTGTTATATTTAGCCACCCTGTGGCAACTTTGCCTAATATTGGTATTTACATAATATTAGGATCAAGTGTGCTCATGTAATTGATTTTGATCATATCAAAAATTACCAAATAAAAAACATTTTTCACTGATTACACTAAAACAATTTATTAAAATTACATTAATAAGTAATGGCTTAACAAAAAGTAAAATTTATAGTTTTAAGGTATTTAAAAGACATTTTAATCAAATATAACATTTAATATAACATTTAAATAGCATATTTAAGAGATTAATTAATAAAGTATAGTAATTAGATCAAATTTAACAAAAACAATTTTTTATCTAAATATAAAATCATTTAAGCAGATTACTTTAATCAGCTAATATATTTAAAAGAAGAAATCCACAAATTATATGTGAAGGAAAAATTTTACTACTAATTTTCAAAATTTTAAAAAATTAAGTTACAATACATATTTAGATACCAAACAAACTACTTTATCCTGTGTGGTCTTTTGAAAAGAGAAAGACGAATATACAAAAGAACTGCAGGGATAAATTTAAAATAAAGACTTTTTTTTCTAAAATAATAGATGTCTATTTTTATGCAATAAACAATATCACCAAATGAGGCAGCATATTTTATTTTAAATTCATATGTATATGTAGCAAAACTTAATAGCATAATTTTGAAATTAATAATTTTGAATATTAAAATTGTGGGTATTTAAAAAAGAAGCATGATTATGAAGCAAAAGAATTATGCATAAATGTACAATGTACTTAAATATTGATGTAAGACAAATATTTAAAATAAATCATATAAATAAACTTATCTTCTTACTTGTGATTTTTCATGCTTAATAACTGCTTTGTTTAAAGCTTCTTCTAAAGGAATAGTTCCATCAAAGAAACTATCTAAAAGAAGAAAGATATGTATATAAATTTTAGTTACTAACAAAATTTTTTTCCAGAAATTTTTTACTATATATATAAGATTATTCAAAACAAAAAAGTGATTTAATCACTTTTTGTAATATTATTCAGTATGCCTTAATACATTTTAAACTCAAAAACATAAGCAGTTTTTAATTTAATAGAATGCTTTAAAAAACCTAATCAATAAAATATTTTCCAAAATGTAACTTGTATTTTTATTAACAAAAATGTGTCACAACAGAAAATGATATGCATGTAAAACATTATTCAATTTAAGTTCTGCTTTAAAAAAAATGCATACTTTGTTTCTGGAACCTGTTTTGGATTTAAAAAAAAAAGAAAATTTGATGAAATAAAATATTTTTATTATTTGTATCACATACACTTATTCCTAATTATTTTAAATATTGCATTTCCTTCATTTCCTACTTTTCAGCTTTATACTATATTGGATTATTTATGGAAAATAATCTAACATAGAAAGTATTATTTGCGATTATTTAATACTTAAAATTTTTAAATTTTGCAATGTTAGGGTTCATAAGAAAACCTTGTTTCACATATTTCATTTAAAAAAAAAAATAAAGATTATTTATATTCTTAGTTTAATTCAATTAGATTTCAACTACTATTTTAAAAATAACTGAAGCACATTCTATACTAAGTCTTTGCCGATTAAAAATAAATTATCATGATAATTTAAAGTTCACAATAATCTTAGCCTATCGTTATAGTATAAAAATACAATTGTTTAGTCATATGTCAGTTAATATTGAAATCTTAAACTTTAAAATAGTTTAAAAAATTTTTTTGATTTGATATGTTTTTAAAAGTATTTTTTAGTAACCGAAAAATTGTTTATAAAAAATATTAATGCAAAAAAGTTACAAAAGAAAAAACACACAGTAAAAACGTATGTACTAAAAACGTGCTATCACAAAACTTTGCTTGTTTGGGGAGAGAAAAAAAGTAAAAAATTAGATTTTAGTGTACTATTTTTCACATTTCCTTATTATTTTCATTTATTTAAGTGAGCATAACCATTTCCCCATTAATTTTCACAAAATTCAAGCATCAGCAGTAGCAATCAGTCAAGGTATTTAAAATATTTCCAAACAAAATTTTTCATTTATTCAAGCATGTAGAGCCTCCATTAACTTTCACGAAAATTAACAACAAGTTTTAAGCTATGTTCAAAAGCTTATTAAGCAATAAGTTTTTGGGAGGGTTGTTGGATATTTTATATGATATACTTTCCAAATTATTATATAATAAAATGCATTACAAAATATATAGCATTTTATCTTTACCAAATGGAATTGCATCATATAATATTGCATAGCAAAAATTCTACTAAGAAAAAAAAAAGAAAGTTAAAATTAAAAATTGAATCTAATATTTAAAATAGAAAGGTCTGAATCTAATAGTGTAACTTTGTATAAATCTAACAGGTTTTATCCAATAAATATATTGTAGATTTTCAGGATAACAAAATTAAAAATGGGCTTTTAAGAATATAAATTTATGCCTTTTATTTTCTTTACTGTAAACCTATTTCAATATATTTAAAGATTATAAAAATTAGTTCCATAAATACCTTTTTCTTCTTCTCCTTTCCCATCTTCATAAAGAGGGATTTCAACATCATATTCAAAATCCAAAGCTTTTTGTCTGTCAGTAGGCAACACAACACAAGAAATCAATTGTTCAGTCATTCTCTGTAATACGCAAATAAAAAGGAAAAAAATTAAAAACTTTCAAATCCATAAGAAAAAGACTTTATCTGTTTCTGATAGGCAGTTATAAAGATAAATAAAGATTTCATCTGTTTCTGATAGGCAGTTATAAAGATAAATAATGAAATTGATTTTAATGCACCAAAATCAGTACTAAATGCAATTATGCAATGCAGGCTTGGCAAGCAGGTATTATAAAAAAAGGCTTGCCACTAAAATTTTAATCTTTCTCATTAAAATGTTAATTAAAATTATGGTTTTACAGCTTGATATATAATATAATATAATATTAGCACTAATCAATGACATTATTACGAACCAAATCGCACTTACAAACATTAAATTCCCAAGAAATTAATGCAAAAAATACATTTTTTAGGGCAACTGACTAATTAACTTTATGTCAGTAGATAAAAAACAATTTTACCTAATGGCGCAACGAAAGTTGCCTGAGGTTGAAATGAAAATACTAAGCAAAAATTAAATATTGAATTGAAAAATAAAATCTGGAGAAAAAAAACTATGATTTTAAATAATTAATTATCCTCACAGTTCAGTAAGTAACTAAATTAGGTCAGTAATGACAACAGGCATTCTAAAGAGATGGTAGGACTATTGGTAAAAAATTGTTAAAACTTAGATAGTTGCTATGCATGGTAGAAAAACTTAAATTAAATGTTGAGTATCACCCAAGTATGAAACAGAAACACCTTTTTTTTAATAACAATAACAACAGTAGAATATTCTTTATTTTCAAAAATAAGGTTAACTTGTCAGAAATTTTCCAAGCAACAAAGTTTGAAGAACTTAGAGGAAGAATGATCTATGTAGATTATCTAATGATCTATGTAGATTTTAATGATCATTTGCTTGTTTTCATGGACGATTTTTAATGTTTTTCATCAAATATAATCATGTTTGAAAAGATAAAATAAATACTAGCACATTTAGGCTCATATTCATAGAATAAAATTGTATACATTTTTGGGCAATAAGAGGCAGAAAAAGTTACTTAATTACAAATTAACATTCATTTTCAATGCGACTTAGCTTTGAAAAAATTAAATTTCTTACTAAGGCAGTGTGTCTCAAACGCAAACTTATGTGAACCAAAAACAAATTGTATGTTGAAGCTGTTTAAGGGTTATTTGTTCTTGTCTTTTTTTAATTATTGATTCGTAAAAAACATGAATTCTTCCTTAATGTATGGAAGCTGCTGTTTCAAGATTTTCATTTTCACAATTTTTTCTCTCCCTGCGTCTTAACATTTCATGCCAAGCAAGCAATTTTGTAAGGTTTTTCATTGACAGGGTTGGCAAGTTTTTTACACATGACGATCAAAAACCCCTCTGTCAAAAACCCATAGTTTTGGTAAAACTGTATTTTTATTTGAGTTTAACTGCTTATAATTTGAAATTAATTCATTTTTGGGCAATAAAATTAGAAAAAAGGTTGTTAAAAGATATTTAAGAACAGATTCTTGCATTTTCCCAAACAACAAAAAATAGCAGTAATTCTTGACTTAGAGTTTGTTAGTAGTTACAAGTTTTGTCTAGCTCATTTCTAATATTTAAGGAATGCCAAATTTTAAATTCTTCTTTTTAGTTCTTGAATTTATTAATAGTTCCAAGCTTTTTTGTTTGTTTGTTTATTTCTAACAATTAAGAAGTGCAAAATTTTGAATCCGTTGCAAATCAAGCAATAATGATAAAAGTAAGTATCACTATTTTCAATAAGTATATTACAATATTTCTGTATGAATGTATATCTGTCTATAAGAATGCATGTATATAGTTGCAAAATCAATAGCAATCATTTACAACATTCATTTATAAAGGCAATTATGTGAAAATAATATATTGTCCGCTATATGCCCCAAATTAAAGAAAACAGTAGGTTTTTGACGGTTTTTGCTGGTAAAAACCGTGTTTTTACCACTGTTATGTCAAAAACCAGTTTTTGACGGCAAAAACCCAACCCTGTTTATTGACTGTTTGTCGCCAAGTCACTTAGCCAGATCTTTCACTGAGTATCTTCGGAATGAATAGATTTAGCAATATCATGTATGTAATTTATTTAAATAAAGTTAAAATAAGAACTTTTCCCCGAGAAATCTCAATATTTTTAAAAATGTCACTTAGCTTGTTCTTTTATTCTTATTTATTCAGGCAAAGTATGCTTTTAAGCCTGATTTCATAACTGAAAATATCATCTGAATTAACTAAATAGCATATTTGAGTACCTGGTACCTGAAAATCTGATGATTAGATTTTTAACGTTATTTGAGATGTTTCATTTATTTTTTGGACACTGAATACAAATCATATATGTGCAGAGTCAAGAATGATTTTTGAATTAAGTCTTTTAATATTTAAAATTATTTAAAGGGTAAAATATAAAATATGGTTAGATTTATTGATTAAATAACAAATTAAATGATGGCAGAGCAGAAATAAGCTGGATAAAAAAAATTTGTTTAGCAAAAGACTTATACATACCGACACTATTCCACCCATAGTTCCTACTGCATACATACAAAAATCTAAAAGTTGCTGAGGCGCTTCCACTTGCATATTATTTGCCAAAGAGACTGTTTTATTTAATAACATAATTATAGCTTCCTGAAATTAAAACAGGCACTAAATGACTTCATGAGGATTTTAAGATAAAATTAGAAAGCATTTACATACAGTGCATTATAATGATAGGACAAAAATTTCTCAAGCTAACAAAAAAAATATTACTGAGCGGAATTTCAGAAATTTTAATTAAACTTTTTTCAGATTGTTAAAGTGCTAAATTTCAAGGTATTCTGAAACCACTAAAACATCCTCCATTAGAAAAAAGATATGATATTGTAGTTCGAACATAGAAAAGAGCTATGTGTTTGCTAATCATTAGGACAATAATTCAGTTCATAGCATGTGCTTGGATTACATTCATTTCCTTTATTCTTAAATGCTTCATTTTCCGAATTTCAAAATCAAATTCCTAATTTTCAAAATTAAATTCCAAATTTGTTTTACATTTTATTTTGAACAGTTAAATTTTTTAAATGATCCAGTAAAGTATCAATATTTTACTATTAAGAATAACTTATTTACACACCATGCTAGAAAGATTCCCCACAATTATTATAGAAAATGTTCCATTTGCTTTTTTTAAAAATTTAAACTAGAAAAAGGGAGAATTTAAAAATGATGGGGTTGGAAAATTGAAACACTGAAAGCAAACTTCACCTCAATATGAGTTTCAAACAAGTTTTTTTCATGAGCAAACATCATTTATACAGTAGCTATGCCACTAATATAATATGGTTGTGTCAATCATTTTTTCCCAAGTAATTTAAATGTTTTGAGGAATAACTTAGTCATTCAATTATCCTAAAAATTATAAGCATAACTGAAAACAACATCTAAATATCAGAGTAAAGATTTATTTAAGTTTTGCAAAATGTCAAGATTTATGTACTTAACCCTATTTTTAACAAATTGAAACTTTAATTGTGAGATAAAGTTAAAACGCAGTACATTAGCTTATAATACAACTTAATTTCATAACAGATAACTAGACATATTATCATCAAACCTGACAAAACTTCAGACTTTTCACAAACATTCATATACTGAAAATCTATGCTTTAACATTTTATGTCCATTATAACATTTAAATAAGTTAAAGATACACAGATATATAAAAGGTTTGATAAGAATGTTATAATGTTTTTAAGTGCCATCAAAATTTTAAAAACATTTCATTATCACTTTAAATAGCTTTTAACAGCTAAAACTGTCATGTTTGCAAATTTCTTTAACTTTTTATTCAAGTGCACACAAAAGGCTTGTGATGATAATATTTTATAATGTATTAATAAACTCTGGTTGGTAAAATGTTGTTTCAAAAATCATTCAGAAAAATCTGATATTCAATTAATATTGTCTTAAGCTATGACTACAATAAATACTAAAAAAGGCAATTTTTATATGAATTACATACTATACTTGATGAGTACAACATCAAATACAATATAAAAATTTATTTAGCTAACAATACTTTTAATTTAAAAAAATCATACTAGCAATGATATAGTAAAAGATATTCAAAGCTTTACAATAATTTATAAAATTTCGAAGATTCTCAGATAAATTTAACGAAGAATCACTCACCATTCCTTCATTATCAATGCCAGCTCCTTCACCAGCAATTGCAGTCAGAGCACTTCCAATTTGCTCTAAATGTCCCAATGTATCAGTATTCATTACACTTCCTACAGATCGAACCATTTTAAGACGTGTTTGAGCTTTCATTTCAGCTTCTTTGTCCAGTAAACCAGGATCAGCTGTAAAAATCAAAATGCGTTGTACAAATTGAATGATAGTAATTTTCTGAACACTAAAAAATTAATACTGGCCCATAATATTAAGAACCTATTTCAATTCGAATAAAAAAGGGGAGAAGAAACAAACCAAATCCAGCATGGCAAGATAGCCAAGAATATTCCATAAATCTGTTGGCTGTCATAAGTAACATCACAAACAAGCTCTATTTATGCTATTAGATTAAAAAAAGCAATATTTAGGAAAGAATTGTTCAACCAAATGTATATATATATATATGTATATATATATATTTGGTCACCCACTCTTCCACCCATTTGTGGAAGAGTCAGGTGATTTAAAAAGAATCAATGAATTATAAGACACTTTAATGTGGTACATGAAGTTGTAGTATGACATCATTTCTAGATTTTTAAGTTCTCGATAGCAACAATAACGACAGGTACAGCTGGCAAAAAATGACAATAACATATTTCCTTACTTGTAGTAACCTCCTCATATGTGCTGTTCTCATCAAGAGGAAGTCGCACGCTCATCAGTGATGATAATGCTTGAGAGACTTGGTTCATCCGAGCTTGATCACCCGAGGCTTCTACTTGTTCGAGTTGTCTGTTATTCATAAAATTATCATAGTCTTGTTTAAATGGTGGTTCCAACTAACAAGAAAAAATGAGGTGAAATTTTTTTTAAACTCTTAACTGTCATACACCATAACGGAAAGTAAAATAACTATAAATTTAATTGATTATTTAAATAGTACAGGTGTTAAAATAATAGGCCATTGGCAAGTCTAGGGCTCATTCCGTAGAAAATCCTAAACAGAACTGGCCCACATGCTCACTGAACCAACATGCAATTTAGATTTGAAGTAACAAAAGCAGCCAAAAGCATAGTATAGCCCAATTTCCTAACCATGCTACCTGTCCACCCTATCATGTGTGAACATTTATTTGTAATCATAGTGATTACCTTCCAAAATTTTTTTAGAAAAATCAAAAATAAACCTGCTTTAAATTGCAAACATTAATAAAATCTGGAATTTAAGACTATCATTTTGAAGAAGAAAAAACTTCCATTTTGCAATTTCCTAATTTTACTTAAAAACAAGGAGAATGTTCCAAAATAATTAAAAATATGCTTTTGTAATATTTAAACAGCTTCTATGCTAAAATTTATTTTACTGCACTTTTATTATTTTTATTATTTATCTTAGCAGCATTTTATAAGCACAAAAAAAAATAATAAATAAGCATGCACAGTCAATATATGGAAAGAAAACAGTTAGATTAAAAAGTTAGCTAACAGTCAGAATTATTTACACGCTATCAGAGATATAAAATCCACTTTAAGGAATCAATATTTAAAAAATAGATGCTTAGTAAAAACAATATATCCATTGCAATGCTAATATATATTAACCCAAAAGCAAATATTTTTTTGACAAAAAAAGAAAATAAACTAAAAACTTAAAAGTATGTGGAAAACAATAGCAAACTCTTAATTCAAATATCAATACTTACAAAAAAAAGATAATACAACTACTAATAAAAACTGTATCAGTTAGAAATAATTATAATCCAAACATCAAACATTTAAGTTCTGACCTTCACTAAATATAGAAAATATGCTTCATCACAATTTTATTCTGTTAACCATTAAAAACAAACAAATTTTAAAAATTATGAATAAAGCTAAAAAAAAAATTTAAAAAAACATAAAGAGAACACACAAACAGTTAGCTTCAGCAGTATAATTCTTATTTCTTCAGTGTCACAATACAGAAATGCAAAAGAAAATTTCCAAAATAGCAACCACAAGGAAAAACAAGGTTTGATTAAAGGGATCTTATTTTTTTAGTAATTTGTTTCCATTTTTCCTCATTATCTACGTATTTTTCCTCTTTTAATCTGTGTAAGGACACAGAAGTTTCTCCATTATAAAATAGAAATAGTATGCATAGTATGACTATGGACGTCGTATCAACAATTTTTTCCTCACACAGTTAAGCTTGTTTCATATACATCTCAAAATTAACACTTTCTTTAGTTGGATTCTAAAAATTAGATCAAGCAAAGGTGAAAAGATTTACCATCATTGTAGTAATATTGATTCGTGCTAAGGCTCCTTCTTTATCTTTTATATCCACACCCAATTCAAAGAGACCGTAAGGCAATACGAGTTGAGCTTCAGGGTCAGGACCAGCACTCAAATAAATAAGTGCAGCCGTGTCATTGTGAATGGCTAGAAACAGAAATAAACATTTCAACTTAATAATGGTACAAGCTAAATATAAAAGCATAGCTGTAATAATATGACTAATAAAATCTATCATCTATTGGCTATCAGAACTGTTATTATCTAAGAAGACTTTAAGCTTGATGTGTTGGCCTGCTTAATTTTAAACCAAAATGTAGCACTAATTTTAAACCAAAACGTAGCACAAGTTTTAAACCAAAACGTAGCACAAGTTTTAAACCAAAACATAGCACTAGTTTTAAAAAATAGCTATTCTAAAAATATTTAAATATCTAAAACATATGTCTCTGTAATTGCAAGAAAAATAATATAAAAATATTTAGTAAATAAACTTAACGTTAAATTGGAAAGAACATGAAAAATTTAACTTTTTCATAGTTCATAATTTTTATGTAATTTGAATGAATTAAAAATAATTATAATTGGAAACTAATCCTAGCAAAACTTCAGTACCTTAGTATATATTTCAATGTTTTATATTATTGCAAGCCTTAATTAATTGCCACCTTTTCCTTATTGAAGATTTGAATTTTGAAATCTAACAGCACATAAACTCTCATTTAAATGGTGGCTAAAACTGGATAAAGGATTCAATGATATAAGAGCTAGACTGACCAGACTGTCTGCAAACTTAAATTGTATTACATACTGGAAGTAAATAAATTAAATCCTGCTTTACTCTAAGTTTAATGCAACTAAGGCATTAACTAAAAACAAGATTGGAGGTCAAAAAGATTGCAAGTCTTTTGATATGCTTATAACATTTGTACAAACATTACAGTATTAATATTATTTAGTGATTTCTGAAAGAATTTTTTTTCCTCATAAAATTAATATTAGCAACAAAAATGCTAAACAAAAGATAGATTTTAATCCTTATGTAATTTAAATTATTACAAAAGAAAAATGAACATTATAACACAATAAATAGCATATAATGTAATTAATACTTACTCCAAAATGCAAAATATTCAATCTCTTTCCCTTCAGGATCTTGCCAACCAAGACAGCTGACAGAGAAAACATCAATCAGCGCTCTTCCAACTTCTGGCACAATAGTGCAATTCCCTCCTTCAGGTGGTTGATTTATGTGGAGGAAAAGATCTGATTCTCCTCTTAATCCATACTCATTTTCTGCTATCAGTTTGGCGATAAAATCACCATAAGTTGGATAATATTCCTTGAAAAAGTCTTCACTTAAAGCCATCTTTTTCTCAGTTGCACCTAAAAAAATATTATTTATCCTTAATTTTTAATACAACTAATTTACTTAACATTAAACAGTATATGATTGAAATTTTCATCCACCATTCAAAATAGCAGTTTTATATTACTCCAAATTCTAATGAGACAAATATATATTAAAAAAAACCATTGAAAATAGTTTTATATTACTTCAGATCTCAGTTAGGCAAATATACAAGAAAAATAAAAACATAAGGACAAAATCCAGTTATACACTAAGCATTTCTTTTAATACATTATTCAGTATTTGCTTTATCAAGCATAAGGAGACGTGGTGACCAAAAAATAATTAGTTTCTCGAAGTAAGATAAGTATGGGCATCCTAGAAGAGATTCAAGAGGTGTTGAATTCTTGTCAAAGTTCTAACTATGAGTTCACAAATTGTAGTTATATCATATCTACAGTAAATTCAATCGNTTACTAGTATATGTTTCAATGTCTCAAATTATTGCAACCCTTAATTTATTGCCACCTTAACTTTATTGCATATTTGAATTTTGAAATCTAACAGCACACAAACTCTGTTTAAATGGTGGCGAAAACTGTATAAAGCATTCAATGATATAAAAGCTGGACTCACCAGACTGCCTACAAACTTAAATTGTATTATGTACTGGAAGTAAATAAATTAAATTCTGCTTTACAAAAGTTTAAAGTAAAAATTTAAAAAATTCAGAAGAAATAAAACCTGTCACTTGTTTGTGCGTGTTTACCTGAAAAAGTTAATTTTCTGTGAAGCAGTAATAGAGTTTGGAAAATAATAGAATAAATCTCTTTTGTAAATTATAAAATATTAATTGAAGAATTAACTAATTAGAATATAAATAATCTTGTCAACTGGGTTTCATTCCTTACGTTAATAATTATGCTCATGGATAAAATAAATAAAAAAAACAGAGATACTATGTTTTAAAAATATTTTAAAAGTGTTTCATTACAAATCCTTAAAAAAAAGAGAACTAAAAACAAGGTAGAAAATCTTTGTTAGAGAACATAATCTTTGTTCCAAATCTTTGTTAGAGAATGTAACAAAGATTTGGAATATCAATGAGAGAAAGATTGCAAGTCTCTTGATATGCTTGTAACATTTATACAAACTCGATAAAAACATTTCTATTATGCTAATTATATAAACCAAAAATTCATTATAAAACCATTGTAGCTCAATCCAGTTAAGTAATAATAAAAAAACTGTATTAAGTTAAATAAAGAAAAACCAACAAAAAAAATGCAGCATGACAAAAAAAATGTATAGAAAAATAGATTTATATTATTTAGTGATTTCTTAAAGAATTTAGTTTTTTTCCCTCATAAAATTAATATTAACAGCAAAAATGCTAAACACAAGTTAGATTTTAATCGTTATGTAATTTAAAATATTAAATGAACATAACACAATCAATAACATATAATGTTATCAATACTTACTCCAAAATGCAAAATATTCAATCTCTTTTCCTTCAGGATCTTGCCAACCAAGACAGCTGACAGAAAAAACATCAATCAGCGCTCTTCCAACTTCTGGCACAATTGTGCAATTCCCTCCTTCGGGTGGTTGATTAATGTGGAGGAAAAGATCTGATTCTCCTCTTAATCCATACTCATTTTCTGCTATCAGTTTGGCAATAAAATCACCATAAGTTGGATAATATTCCTTGAAAAAGTCTTCACTTAAAGCCATCTTTTTCTCAGTTGCACCTAAAAAAATATTATTTATCCTTAATTTTTAATACTAATTTAGTTAACATTAAACAGTATATGATTGAAATTTTCACCCACCATTCAAAATAGTTTTATATTACTCCAAATTCTAATGAGACAAATATACATAAAAAAAAACACCATTCAAAATAGTTTTATATTACTTTAAATTTCAATTAGGCAAATATACAAGAAAAATAAAAACATGAGTACAAAATCCAGTTATACACTAAACATTTCTTTTAATACATTATTCAGTATTTGCTTTATCAAGCATAAGGAGATGCGGTGACCAAAAAATAATTAGTTTTTTGAAGTAAGATAAATAATTAGTTTTTTGAAGTAAGATAAATACGGGAATCCGAGAAGAGACTAAAGAGGTGTTGAATTTTTGTCAAAGTTTTAACTATGAGTTCACAAAGTGTAGTTATATCACATCTACAGTAAGTTCAATCGCACTGCTAGTTCTTTTACAATGTTTAAAAGCTATTTTTATAAACCACATTCAAATTATTTAATAAAATGCTCCCAAGATCTCATGCTTTTTTTAAAAATGAATATTAGTACAATAGATCATTAGTACAATATTGTACAACAAAAGCAACAATATGAATTTGATTCAAGAATAAATTACATATTAATCACAGCATAAAACATCGTTTTATACATGTAATTACTATTTGAAGACTAATATCATTCTATTGGTAATGTATTAAAATTGGATAATCATTGCTAAACCATATAATGTAAATTGTTCTTTTTATAAATTAAGTCTTTCGTCAATAATAAATAGCAAATTTAAGTCAAGGAAAGTTTGAAAGACCATGGAAATGACTCAGCCTACCAACAAGAAACTCTCCGGCCTCAGCGAGATATGTTTCATTGCCTTCTGCATCAACTCCAAACACTTGCCATTCATAAAGCAATTCAGTATCACAGCCGTCTTTGCACAATCCAATCAGACCCACTCTAACAGGGTTTATACGCTGGCCAATTGGATCATTAGGGTAGCATAATTTTTCAGTTTGGCACCTATGAAAGATATTACACACTTTCAGAAGCAAAATAAGGTCACAAAATGATCAAAACATTATAAAATAGCTGAAGACAAAAACAAATAAACGACTAAATAACTTTCTTTTTTTAATTTTTAAACTAAATTAATACAGTCAAACTTGTTTATAATGAGATAGAAAGGGCAGAAGTAATTTCTGTATTTAGTCTAGAAGATCCTTTAACTACAGTCGACTATAATAAGCAAATACAGTCCCTGAATAAATTAGACAATATATTATTTTAACTAGACCAAATTATTAGACGCACTGTTGTTGTTTTTTTAATAATTACATGTTTTGTAAGAGTTTATATACAATACTTTCATATTTAAACATACAGGTAATGGGTTTTTACTCAGGAGCCTTTTTATATACCTACTTCCTATTTGTATTTATTTTTAATGTATTGCATTACAATGTTAACCAATTGATGCACAAACGTAAACAAGTGCTATTCGGCTTTAGCCGCGTAAAAACAATAAAGCTGTATAATATCACCTGATAATTAAGATTTTACACAGAATCTTATAGTGCATCTTATAATTTGGCTAGGGACTGTACATGAGCAATGGAAGGAATAAAAGATAAAATCAATTCAATGGTCTGCTTACAAAGTTTAGATCAGGCTCACTTTTAGTCATTAAATCAGGGTTCATAATAAACAAGTTTGCCTGTGTGTAGTAAATTATCTAAACATAGTGGAAAGCCCTATATCCGGAATCGTTGAGACTTTGAAAAGTCAAACATTTAGATTTTTTCGAATACTATGTTTTTAAGGTAGACAACTATCATAATATGCTTTATGCGATAAAAAAAAATTACAAACTGACGACAATTAACGTTAATTTTATACAACTTTCAAACAGAACATTCTCTTTCAGGTTCAAATAATTAATAAAATAATCAAGTTCAAATAATTATTAGTTCAAATAATTACTCTTTCTTTTTCTTAAATACAATCACTTTTTTTCTTTTTTCAAATTTGTGAGCGGTAATAATAGTGCAATTTAAATAGGGATCCACTTTCAGTAAAATGGGACACAGAAATGCTGTAATCCTGTGTCCTAAGGACCAGTTGCTTTCAAAGTCTAACAAAATCCCTGAGTTAATTAACTGCAAATTAACATATCCAATATGTAAAAATAAAAATTGTTGATAAGAGAAATTTCTTACTCGACACTAATCACAGGAGGTATGTGCTCTAAAAGTACTATTTGTAAGCCACCCCAACTAGGGTCTCTATCTGACATCTCTATCTTCAATATAATTTCATAAGTGACATTAGACCGTCGAAATACTGTTGTATTCCAATTGACATAGCCTTCAGTTACATTAATCATGCCTAAAAATAGAAAATAAGTGTTGAATAATGTATATCATGCTATAGGTAATATTATATGCTTAAAATGCACTTGAATTCCATGAACAATATTTATCTTAAGTACATAAAAGTGTAAAAACAAAATAATATAAATAAACAGTAGCACAGTCAGAAAGATTTTCTGAGTGTTACTCTGTTTTGAGTTTATATTTAGGGTTGGATTTTAATAGCTATAAACTTTCAATGCACATCAAATATAGAACAATAGCTGTACATATACTATATAAAAATAAATATACATATATAATGTGCGCAATAATTTATTAAATAGAAAACTGTTCGATAACACCCATTAATTAATAGGTAGAGAAAGGGCTTGCATGAAAAATATTTATAAATTTGTTTTAAAAAAAAGTTTATTATTTTCTCGTTACTATATTGCTAATTAAACCCTCAGTAGTTGATATTAATACACTATTCTTACACACTGGCTAGTTTTTAATACCTGTGCAAAGAAATAAATATGCATTTTTAAAGCCTCAAAACATTATGGATTCAAGATTGGGAATTTTTTGAGGATTTTTGCGACATTTTAAGGATAAGAGACTATTTTTTTCATGGATTTTCCAAGATTTTCTAGATTCTTATGATGAAGATTTTAAACATTAGAATTTTTTAAGGATCTGCATAGGGTAAACAGGAATTTTGATGGTAAGAAGCAGAAGGGAGCATCCAGCAAAGGTGATCCATCAAATGTGACAGCTCAACCATAGGAGAATGGTTATTTGAATTATGCTTCAGCTTAAGTTTTTTCACTTATATCTCCTTCTTGTGTGAATGTTTTATAACACTAATAAATTAAATATTTTTTTTAAATTCTTTGTGGGTGTAACTAGAAACACACTGATCATCTTTTTCTAAAATCTTTCCTATACAGCAGTTGATTAATCTCCTCAGGTAGATCATAGAACATTAGTCATGATTGATGCTGTAACTTGAAGATGTTTCAAATTATACTTAATCTTAAATGCAGATACAATTTTTGGATAGTTAAGAGAATTAAGTTCTTGGACAATGATTAGATTTGCCCTATTCACAAGTTCAAAATGTGCAAATTACTAAGTGATTGTTAATATGATTACGATCAACAGAAGAAAAAAATTGACAAACACAAAAAGAAAATCATAAAAAAATTGTGGCACAAACCTGGCCCTTTTCCGAAACATCCCCCAAGATCTGCTTCCTCTAACAAACCATCAAGAGCTCCTTCTTCTTCTTCACTGCTCTCATCTGAGCTGGGAGGGGGCAAGCCAGTTGGCCTTTCTCTATATAAGACACTCCGATCATAGATGGGATCTGACATATTTTGCAAATCTTCAGTCAGATTTCTGTTTATAACTTCACCAGGTAAACGTCTGCAGAACCATTTAATCGTAAAATTCTAAATATAAAACAAAGTAATTTAGTAAATACAAAGCATCATTTAGCATTCCTTTCTTTTCTTTTTAACTGAATTACAGACAAATTACAAGTCAAAGAAAAATTAATTTGTGTACATAATATTTTTACTTTTGAGATTGTTTGTTCTCTAAGGATAGAATCAAGCTTTAGATTCATAACTTTCATTGGAAATAAAATAAAATTAGCTTTTCAATTTTACACAATTTAACGATTTGGAATTATCGCAGCAAAAAATTTCAGTTGTAAAAATGAAATAAAACTGAGAACTAAGTGTTAGTATCTAAGAAAAAATTGTCAATGTAACATTTTTCCATTCTTTAACATAAGGGGAAATCAACATTATATACTTCCCCCATTAAATATAGTTAAATATTACTTAATGTTAAACATTATGCAATATGACACATGAATAATTTTATTTTGAGTGATAAATTCTGATTTAAAAAAATCTTAAAACAAATAATATAATATTGTAATCCAGAAAAAAATTTATAAGATATTTAATTTATTAAAGAAAAAATTCTGATATATTTTGTGGCTCTAAATAAAGTAACTAATTTTAGCACTCAACATGTCCTGAAATGCAATAGGAAAAAAAAATATACAGGACTTTTCTTATCAAATTACAAAATGCATTTCATTTAACAAAAATTATATATTTTCGTAAATTATTATTACAACAGTTGATTGCGGCTTACAGCCTACTTATTTTGAGACTTATTAGCATACAAATCTTTCTTTTTATTAGAATTTTATTCTTTTCGTTTCATTTCAAATAAAGTTCAATAAGATTTCAAATAAAGTTCTGCTTTTGCATAAACTTTGTTTGATATATCAAAAAAATTAATATAATAAAATAAGGTTCTAGTTATACAAATGATTTTTACTTGTTTGAAAACTTTTGATTTTATTTGCTTGTTATAGTTTGTAAAAGCTTGAAAGCTTTTTTCTAAAAAAACTTAATTTTTAACCTTTCAAGAAAAGCAGTTATGAATGCAAGTTGAATGTTATATACTAGGCATAGGATCATCTTTTTGTGACAATTTAAAAGTTTGATGGAACTTTCTTTAAATACTAATGATTTATTAAAATTTTGTCATTTTTAAAACTTTTCAATAGAGATGTACAGTTCCCAAAGATTAATTAGCATATTTATGTTATCCTACACAAATAATAATAGCAACAGCACAATAAGTCAAAAGTAAAAATATTAAATATACTTTGTTGTTTTCATCATCTGGGTCAATAGAGTTCTGCCCAGGATCTAAAACTAAGCCTTGTCCCCAGCCTCGAGTCACACGAGACTGCGCTCCTTCTGTGAGTCTAACGATAACAGGTGAAGGCACTACTTTAACGTAAGTTTCAACAGCTCTCACAAGAATTAGCGGAGGATTTTGTATAAATACTAAAAGCAGAAAAAAAATACAGTTAAAAAAACACAAGAAATTAGTAAACCATATCAATTGAACTTGAATATAACTAAAATACAATGTTAATAAAAATTGAGACAAAACCATCAAGTGCTATATCATAAATTTAAGATTTAGAAAAAGAATGAATAAGTACGATTCCAATTATGAATAAGTATATTTCAGATATTTATTGCAGCAGGTGCATAATTAAATATCAAGGTCAGTATTCAATTAAAGTATATAGTAAAACAGGGAAAGATTACACATTAGTTCTTAACTTTACAGCTCATGTAAGTACTTAGGCTTGTTTATACAATCCAAATTCTTGAAACAAGATTGGTGGAAATTGATGTAAACTTGTCTTGATTGGAACTTTTATCTTGTAAATGATCATCCAAGCTCTTGGTCCAATGTCTTGGGTGATAGAGCATGTTCTAAATTCTGCCCAAGTTTTTCCTTCCAAAACCAATCAGCTTCTAAAATGTCATAACATCAGGGAGCGGAATATGATCTTTTCATTTTGGTGTCCGTTTTCATATATTACAGTCTAAATAAATTAATCTTTTAGGACTCAATTGCGTTATTTTGCCTTCATGTAGACCATGATTTTTATAATTTTGAATATGAACAATGCACATGTGCAAATTTTTCATCCAACCAATCAGCAGCATCCAAGAACTTGGGTAGTGTCAACAAATTGTTTAATTTCTTGAACAGAAAAATTCTTCAAAGAGCTCGTTTCAAGCACTTGGTATGAATAGACAGGCCTTTATGCATATGTACTATTTAAGCTGAATTATGATTTTAATCAGATTCATAAAAAAACACATTCATAATTGAAATATAATTTGAATAAATTGAGACAAAAAAATGACTTTAAAATGGAAATAGTATTAGATTTTACCATAAGAATAATTAATATAGCTAGCTGGAGTGATAAGTGGAAAGAAATAAGCATAAATTTGTAATATATTATTTTCAAGCTACAGAACATTAAAGAACCAAATTTAAAATGTTAATGACTTAGGAAATGATTTATGATTACTTAGGTTAACAGTTATTGGTCAACAATAAAAAAACTTATTATTTTAGTAGTGATCACCTATTCAACTTGATACAAATTCTGAAACAACAGAATAATGACAAAAAAGGATACTCGAAACTTAATTTCTCAATGATTTTAAAAAAGAATTAAAATAATCATTGAAAAAAAAACATAGAAAAATGAAAGAAATGTAGGAAAAAGAATCAAAATAATTTTGGTTTGTTTTGAACGCTTGAAGAAAATGTTTCATAAGAGCAATTTAAAATTATTGTACCTCAAATAGTAAAAGCCACAAAACCAATTTAAAAATAATGATTTAAAATAATGAATAAAAAAATTATTTTATTTAGTATTATCATTATTTGTACTCAACAATTAGAAAACTTTGGTTTGAAAAACCATTAATTAAATATCGAAATATCACATAATTTAAATAAAATAATACACAAAAAACTGTTCTAAATTCAGTTTAGAACTATCTTTAATATTTAAGCAACTAAAGTTAAAAAACTTCCTGTCAATTCTTCCATTTCAAATCTTCTATCTAAATCAATCAAAAAAATCATAAAAAATAATCTTCTTTAAAATCATAATTAAATCAAATGTGAGAATTACCTGTCATATTCACAGTAAATTTGAACTTATAAAGACCTCCTTTCAATAAGAAAGGCCTTAAATACAGCATAGATTTTCTATATGAATCTACCATGGTCAAATCGATTTCTTCAAGAACTAATCCATTTGTTTCATTTAATCGGTAACCACTCCAATATCTCACAGTTTCGCTTGAATCGTTACACTTCATTGTTGTATAAGAGTATAACACAACAGGTATAGACCTATTATGGAAAACACAAAACAAAATTATTAAAAGAGCAAAAAATTGCAACAAAACAACAACAAAAAACACACACACCCATTAAAATCCCAGTATGAAACGAAAAAAAGTGAGCTATTTAAGAATACTTAAGGAAATCAGAAATAATAATTGCACCAATGAAATACAATTTATGCAGCTTTATTTTCTGTTTAAGTGCAAAATTAAATCTCCTAATCAAAAGTGCAATTCAAGCCTAATAGGAGATGGTGAAAATATTAATAATGATAAAAACATTAATTTATGCTTAAAAAATTTTCATTCATCAAAGACAATTCAGTTCATCACATAAGGTAATTACTGAAACATAAATGCTTCAGAGTTCCAAATTAATACAAACAGAAAAAATAAAAGACTAATACAATTATTATACCATTGGTCATGAAATTGTTGAACCTAAACATTTCATAACTACCCTGCCCCACAATAGACTGTAACTGGAATGTTATTTTACTATTATACATAAGACAAAGTTAAGCCTAATCTTATTTTCTTCTATTTTTCCTAATTTTCAAAATAACAATAAAAAGAAAGATAGGTGTATAAAAAATATTTTTTACCTTATAATAGCCATTAGCGACAAAAAAAAATTAAGAAACTTAAATCAGCAGTTTTGTTTTAATCTGAACTTTACAGTGCTGAATTATTCTTTTTTCATGAAAAAAAACACTAATGATAAAGTCATTGGATAATAAAAGATAATTTTTGCATAATTTGTATTATTGCTTCATTGTTCCTGGAATGCATTGTTTGTTTGCTGGACAGATGCCATTAAATAGATGGGGGAATTTTTAAATTTGTCACCTCATTTCTACCTGACTCAAGACTGCTATGTGCAATAAAATAAAGAAAGACAAAGTATAAGGAAAATTTTGAAAGAAACTTATTGTAAAATAAAATATTAAGCACAATAAAATATCAATCCTAAATTTAAAAAACAAAAAATTTTATGTTTTATTTTAATATTAGTTCCCAAATTCTAAAATATTTTACTGAATAAAAAATAATAAACCATTTACTGTAAATGATGAGAATAATATACAAAGTTCTATTAAAATTAAGATATTTAAGATCAGATACAATGGCAAAATGGTTAAGGCACTAAACAGTAATTGTGAAGGACTGATGTTCAATCCTCAGAAATGGATTGAGGCCCATCCAGCTTCAGATTGATTTTTAACAGCCTAGTCTGGGAAGCAAACCTTATTTGGGAAGAACGCCGACCACATTGCCACTATCATGCCCTAGGTTATAAAATTGTGGAGCCTTAACCTCTAGGCTCACAATGGACTTTTTCAGGAATGCTTTACTTTATTCCAAATATGTAAAACAGTAATTGTGAAGGACTGACGTTCAATCCTCAGAGATGGATTGAGGCCCACCCAGCTTCAGATTGATTTTTAACAGCTTAGTCTGGGAAGCAAATCTTATTTGGGAAGAACGCCGACCACATTGCCACTATCATGCCCTAGGTTATAAAATTGTGGAGCCTTAACCTCTAGGCTCACAATGAACTTTTTCAGGAATGCTTACCTTTATTTCAAATATGTAAAACGGTAATTGTGAAGGACTGACGTTCAATCCTCAGAGATGGATTGAGGCCCACCCAGCTTCAGATTGATTTTTAACAGCTTAGTCTGGGAAGCAAATCTTATTTGGGAAGAACGCCGACCACATTGCCACTATCATGCCCTAGGTTATAAAATTGTGGAGCCTTAACCTCTAGGCTCACAATGGACTTTTTCAGGAATGCTTTACTTTATTCCAAATATGTAAAACGGTAATTGTGAAGGATTGACGTTCAATCCTCAGAGATGGATTGAGGCCCACCCAGCTTCAGATTGATTTTTAACAGCTTAGTCTGGGAAGCAAATCTTATTCGGGAAGTATGCCGACCACATTGCCACTATCATGCCCTAGGTTATAAAATTGTGACACTTTAACCTCTTGCCTCACAATGGACTTGTTCAGGAATGCTTACCTTTATTTCAAATGTGTTTAATTCAGTCAAAATTTGATATGAAAATGCACACACTTGGTAAAGCTACTATAAGAGAGTAAATTCAAAAGAAGAAGAAAAAAATTAATAATACAAACCTGTAAACTTCTGGAGCCAGGTAATAATTTGGAATCCTATTCCTGATGGCCAAATCAGGAGCTTTGCAAGTTTGATTGGTAATAAAGAACCTGATAGTTGTATTTACTTCTGAAATGGCATTGAATGCCTTGAAGAAGGCATCAATATATCCTTTTGATATGTATGAATGTCGGATCACAAGAGGATTTTCAAGTTCACCTTCCCAAACCACTTCTTCGGCCGTATCGTTGCAAGTCTCGCCATTTCCAAATGCCCTCAGCACTGTTCCATCATCATAATCAACTAGTAAGCACGTGTCTGTGCCAATTCTCTCTAAATATACCTAAAATGAACAAACAATAAATCTTTTTTAAAAAAATCAATTAAATCTATGAAGGCTGTTTTTTTTTTATAAAAGCTTGGCCGTCATATAAAATAACACTTTTCATGAATAATATGTTTTTTTTGTGAATAATATTATATGCTATTTGAAATAAATATTCATGAAAGTTAGATCAATTTTTTCGCCTATCTTTAACCAGTACCCACTATGGTAATTCTGAAAATGGTGCAAAACGCCAATATGTAGAAAAGTCACACTTTTGATAAAATGAAAAGCAATTGGGACCTATTTTTTTAATATTTAAAAAATAATTTAATTGTTGCACAATTTGGGCTCATAAAAAGTTGCAAAAATTTAAAATTATTCATCAATTCAAAAATTTTAATCAAGGTGAAAAAAATCCTGCAAAATCAGCAATTCAAAAAAAAATTTATAAATTTTCAAACATTAAGGTTATTTGTCCATTTTAAAGGATAAGGAAAGTTGATTTATATAGCTTTGCCTTAAGTGTAAAGCATTTTAACTGACTCCTTTTATTTCAATTGGCGAAAGAGCTTCGAAAAATGCTGTTAAGACAAGAGTATGGAAACACAATTAGTTTCAGTTCAGCAATAGTTCAAACTAGATACTTACTGTAATCTTGACTTATTTAGAAATTTTTTGTTTGGTAATTTTAAATCCTGAAAATTTTAAACTGAAAATTTCTTTTAAATAACTGAAAAATACCTCAAACTCTTTATCCTCTTCTTCTTCAAGGGTAGCATTTACATTGTCTATTGCTATCAAGCCTTCAACTGGTTCCATTAAGTACAAAAATAAAAATACAGGATCAGTTGTTTTTTGTACATGATTGTAGGCAGATACAGTGAAATTATAATAGCCAGGCTGAAAGAAAAGTAAAGTTTTAATGTACATATTTTTAGACATTGCTCTAACATTCTTACAAATTTCAGATGCAAATAAGTTAAAATAAAGAAAAACATATTAAAAACTATCCAGAAGTTTTGGGCTATAAACACATGTTCTTTAAATAAGGTCACCCTCTACTTAATGGATAACGGATATGGAAAAAGACTCCAATCTAACAGCATTGAGTAATCAAAATGCATCCTTTTTGCATAAGGTGAAGAGAAACGAAATGGGAAAAAAACTATGTAATTAACTTTGGATAAAATAAGAAATTTTTCAAATAATTGAGTTTCTACTGTCCATGAATTTGAAAAATATTTCAGAAAATAAGAATCATACCTCTTGAAACATCATAGTGTATGATGTATCAGAACTATTCATTAATGTTGTTCCATTTGCCATTTGAACAATGTAAAGTTCAACTTCACCTATAAAGAATATCGAGGCATTAATAAATGATAATAAAAAAATTTTTTAGCTATATAGTAAGTTAATTAAAAAATAAAAAAGGGAATTGGAATCAATGAAGGGAAGAAATAATTAAAATAAATAAAAAATATTATTAATAAACACAATATGATAAAGAATTAAAAAGCATGTACATTATGTGTTGTATTTTATGAATTTTATTATGCATTAAAGGTAGTTTGGAATACATAATAAAACACAACACACAATGAAAAATTATCAATATAAGTTATTTTAAATAAATAAACCATAATATTTAAGTAAAAAAAGTTTCATAGACACATGAAATGTTTTTATCATAAAATTTAAAATCCTGCTTTAGACCAAAAATAATACTAACAATTAAGTGAAATAAAACACACAATTGAATGACATGTATAAAAAATAAAATAGAAACAAATAAAAATAAATAAAGTAAAATAAAAAACTTTCTGTCTTTAAAATTTTTGATTTAATCTAAATTCATTTGGAAATCAAAAAATATAGTTAAGTATTAAATAAGCATTTCAGATATTGAAATGGTTAATAATTTTTAACTTGGTTATTAGAAATAAAGAAGAAAAAACTAACGTTTGGTTTTCTTTTTTAAAAAACTTAAGCCGATATTAATTTTTGCAAACAGTTTTCTTACATTGCATGCTTCACTCTGGTATTAGAAGTCCAATCTATTAACTCTATGAAAATGAACTCTATTTGATTAGCTCTATAGAAACAGCCTTTTTTAAAGCTAAAATTTTTTTTGAAAGTTTATGTAAAAATTTATGTCTAATTTTGGAAGACTATGATAATTTTTCCAAAGTAGAAATTGCATTTATAAAAATGGACAGATTAAATTAAAATGACCGCTCCTTATTTTAACAACAAAAATTTTTATATCCATATGTATATAAACACAAAAAGGATAAAAGAACAGAGATTATTGAAGAAAATTAAGAAAAATAATGATTAGTTTCATTTACTGTACATAAGCTGCAAGTACATGAAACTGATAAAATAAGTAAAAAATATAGAGAGAATATAGAGAAAACATGAAAAAAAATATTTAAAAAATATAGAAAATAAGAAAAGAAGTCATTAAAAAAGCTTTTAAAAAAAATTCAACAAAAAAATATTATTAAAAGTCGGGAAAAAAAATAAGGAAAAGATATAATCTCGTCATCAGCTCACACAATTATATCCTCAAAAAAAGTGCTTTCTAATATTGTATTAATAAAAACAAAACAAAATATATTGATACAATAATGTTAGGAGCACCCAAAAAATTTAAACGAAAATAGAACATATTAAGTAAAAAATGTAAAATAAAACAATCCACTACAATTATCCTTTAAAATAGCCGTACATATAAAAAATAGCTTAAATAGTCTCCCAACAGAAATAATTTTGATGCTATTTTAATCTATGTATTAGCACTTCAAATAATTATTATAATAAATAAAGTTAAAAAAAATTATCTCATAATACAACTATACAGTACAATAATTAAAAAAACTTAGCTAGATTAGTACTAGATTAGACACATTAATTCCATTTAAAAAGCAAAATAGTGCCTTCTTTTAAAAATATGAATGAAATAAAAAGGAAATTAAATTTTTAAAGTTTAAAGTAAATATTTTTTTTTTATTCTGAAAAGCAAAAAGCAACTACAAATTAAACATGTGATTAAAATAAATAATTGATCAAGGTTTAAAATCAAGATTAATCAATGTTAAACAACTTTAAATATAATATCTGATTTGGAGATCATCAAAAAAACTCAGGAACGTTTTAAAATGCTATTTTCATTAATAAGGTATTTATTTTTCAAAAAAATAAAACTTGTACATTTTCAACCACTAATATTAAAGCCAAAAAATTTTCCCACATGCTGAGAGCTTTACAGTAATAATAAAAACATAAAAAATCATATAATTTTTTTTCTCTAATTGAAAAAAAAGGTAAAATTCTGTTGCTAATTATATTATGTAACACAATATATAAGGAAATAGCAGTCTACGTCTGCAAGAAGTCACTATTTTTTAAAAAATAGTAGTTACTGTTCAATTACTGAAAAAAGTTGTTATATTCGCCTAAAGTAAAAAAATAGTTGCAAATAGCCGCTTTTTAGTTGCCAGTGGAAACTCTAAGCATATAATATAAGCATATCGAACAAAAATTTATATGAACACATTCAATTATAGGAAGGATGTGATTTGCCAACTATGAACAAAAAATTTGTATTTGAGTGCTAGTGGTATTAACTAAGCAAATTTCTAATGAATTACAATGTTTCACCAATTAGGTTCAAAAGGGAACAAACCTTTAAATTTCCCTTTATTATTTTGATTTGCAGAAATGCTGCACAGGTAAAAATGTCTTCCTATCTAAAATTTCTTTCAAAATGTTCTAACAGATTTTACTTACAAAACTTTTGCAGCTAGAGATAACTCTGTTTCGATAAGAACTATTACAACAGTGTTTACATAATATTACCCATCACCTGTAGGTCACTAAAACATTCATCATTAATGCATTTTTAAAGTAGAAACATTTACCTAGATTTCAAAAATAAAAATCTACCTCAGCATAATCAAATAACCTTTTTTATTTATTTATATTACCTGTGGCAACACTCATATGCATTGTCACATTTCTTTCTATAGGGAACTTATTCTTATCAGGACCAAAACCAGCAATCTGATCATGACTGGTAAGTAATGGGCTGTGAAGTATATTTACTGCTAAGTCTCTTATTCTTACAGCCGTTTCAACCTATAGTAGTAAACGTTTCAGAAATTAGAATCAGGAAGTAGTTTTTGATATTACACGAGTACTTTACTTAGAAAAAATTAAATACCTCGGTTAAAAGTGTGTACGATGACACAATGTTTGAAATTCGGATATTAACAAGATATACTCCAGGTTTTCTATACTTGTGTTCAAAAGCCTCTTGTATACCTTCACCGTCTTTTGGAATATTCCATTTAAATGTTTTTTTGTCACCAAATGTAAAGACTGCGGTGGCATTAGTAGGGAGAAGTTCTGATGCTGGATAAGACAAATCAAAGTTGATGGCACCTAAAAAAATTCAAATGTTAATATAAAATCAGTTACAAGTAATGGTTCATCACAATGAAGCCTCAAATAATTAATGTAAATTTAATTAAATCAAATAATTAATTACAAGAATATATTACTATTTTATATAAATTTGAAAAGCACTTTGAAATAAAAATTTTAAAATTTAGTTTTTGTCATAGGAACCAATTCGACAAAATAGTCGTTGTAGTCGCATTTCTTTAGTTGTCAATGGCAGTTCAAATAAGGAATGGCAGATGAAATAAGGAAAGTAAAAAAATAACTAGAAAAATTAAACTATTTAATCTGAACTTTAAATTTAAACAATGCTTTAAGAACTAAAAAATATCAAATTTATCACTATATAATAAAAATATAGTAACTTTTTAACACTTTTAATGAAAGGATCGATGAATCATATCACTAACCAACAGGGTAGAAATAACATTTGAAAAACGTTCAAATTATCTTAAAATCTGCAAAATGATGAAATTTAAAGTTTAAATTATATAAGATTATGCTACTTAGTAAAAATAGAAAGGTAAAATAAATATGAAAGATTTTAATATTATAACTGACTCAAAACTGAATCTTTATAAGTTTACAAATATTAATAAAAAAAAAATTCTCATAATATATTTAAATTTAAAGGCCTAATTTCAATCTTCATCCTGAGATTATTTTTTATTTTCACTTATTCATTTATCATTATTATTGTTACTATTATTAATTTATTTAGAAAATCACAAATTTGTCATTTTACATGTTCTTTTGGTAAGTTTGCAATTATAATAATAATATCAAAAGGTAAAAAAATCAATATTCTAAACAAGTGACACACAACCTATGGTTCAAAGTGCAAAAAGTGGCTCACGAAAACTTTTAACTTAGCTCTAAATCTAAACTGTCCTAAATATTAATGAGAATAGGAAAAAACATTTTACAGGCTGTGCCCTGTAACAGTAAGTTACTGACCTAGTTCACAGCCTTTCTTAGAGTATGGGCATATCATTCCAATTTGCATTTTTTTTATAGCAAGGGATTAAAATAATAAATAAATCATAATTTTAAAATTCTAAAGGCAATCATGACATTAAAATATAAAACAACGTGAATAAAACACAAATGGACATACTATAGTTTCAATTCTATTAATACAAGAACCTTCTTCAGTGTCTAAATGTTCATTTATGATTTCATTATGACACTGAGGAGGGTTTCTGTTTATGGAACTGAAACTATAGTATATCCATTTATGTACTTTAATTTGTGCTTTATTCGCCTTGTTTTTTGCTTTGGTCTACAAGGCACTAAATATACCTAATCCTTTTTGAACCATCATATTAATCTGATACTGTTTCATTGACCAATTTTGCATAGTGAGTGTTTGTTAACGTACACATTTGGGGGTCATGAAAATTTTAGTTTTCAGAAAAATTTAAAACTAAAATTTTAATTTCTTTTTTAATCTTGTAATATATATGTTCGAACTCATTTGCATGTAATATTTTAACTATCTTTATCTGAGCAAAAAATTAATTATACAAGTATAAATACTTTCAATTATAATTTTAATAGAGCCTGCATTCATAATTGCAGTTTTATGACAAGACAATGTCATCCCCCAATTGTACAGTACAGAACCTCTTATCCGGAAATCAGAATACCGGAACGAAATTCAATACATTTTCCCGCCCATTTTTTTTTTAAAAAAAAAATATATATTCCTCAAAAGATTTCAAAATTCTTCTTTCTTTTTTAAAAGATGTTTATCATCATTTTAGAAATAATCATTAGTTCACTACACTGTTAAAAGAAGAAAGAGTTTTTTAAAATTATTCTAATTATATATATATATATATATTTTTTAGTTCAGTTTGACAATAAAAAAACGGCTTTTTGTAGCGATTCAGAAAACCGGAAAAATCAGTTATCCGGAATAGCGATGGTCCCGATTGTTCCGGATAATCGGTTCCCTACTGTACTNGAAAGACATTGTGTGTGTGCTGCAAGGGGCAAGATATCAGCTCCTAGGTTTTTTTTCTTGCTTTAAAACATCAACAAAAAAAAAATCGAGTTAAAGGGAGTAAAATTCGAGTAATCGAGAATAATTAACATGAAATTGAAGATAAAAGGGTCGGGACCTCATAAAAAATCGAGTTATAGTAATATTCGAGTTATCGTACTTCGAGTTATAGCGAATTGACTGTAGTAATAAAAAAATTCTCATAATAAATCACATTGATATATCTCAATTTAAAGCCCTAATTTCAATCTTCATCCTGAGATTATTTTTTACTTTCACTTATTTATTTATCAATATTATTATTACTATTATTAATTTATTTAGAAAATTACAAATTTCTCATCTTACAGGTTGCTTTGCAATTATAATAATAATATCAAAAGGTAAAAAAATCAATATTCTAAACAAGTGACACACAACCTATGGTTCAAAGTGCTAAAAGTGGCTCACGAAAACCTTTAACTTAGCTCTAAGTCTAAACTGTCCTAAATATTAATGAGAATAGGAAGAAAAAAATTTTTTTACAGGCTGTGCTCTGTAACAGTGAGTTACTGACCTAGTTCACAGCCTTTCTTAGAGTATGGGCATGCCATTCCATTTTGCAATTTTTTAATAGCAAGGGATTAAAATAAAAAATAAATCATTATTTTAAAATTCTAAGGGCAACCATCACATTAAAATATAAAACAATGTGAATAAAACACAAATGTAAATACACAAATGGACATACTATAGTTTCAATTCTATTAATACAAGAACCTTCCTCAGTGTCTAAATGTTCATTTATTGTTTAGACACTGAGGAGGGTTTTTGTTTATGGAACTGAAACTATACTATATCCATTTATGTACTTTAATTTGTGCTTTATTCACCTTGTTTTTTTGCTTTGTCTACAAGGCACAAAGTATACATTATCCTTTTTTGAATCATCACATTAATCTGATATTGTTTCATTGACCAATTTTGCATAGTGAGTGTTTGTTAAAGTAAAAAAAAAAACAATGGAAATAAAAATATAGCCACATTGCGTTGTTTACTTTTATTTTAAATGTTTCTTTCATATTGAGTCAGTTTCATGAAATTGCTGTTTGACCAGTGTTTATTGTGAGTTTTTGTATTTTCCTTTTTGTATTATATTCAAAATTCTGTTTGAAATTTCTCGTCTGATTTGATTTTATGTATTTCTTGTATTTTTTCCTGGACTTTTACAAAACCTTTGAGGTACTGAAAGAGCTAATTTTGACATTTGTCCGCTCTCTCAATAGAAAAGGTTTTGTTCTATGGCTTCAGGAGCTGGTGCCCCCTGAAGACATCGGCTTCGGTGGCCATATTTTTATTTCCATTGTTTTTTTTCTTATTGCTTCAATTATTCTTTCTTTTGAAAATACTGCTGCTTTGCGCGTTTCTTTCAAAGAAAGTTCTGTTATTATAGAATTAAATATTTTGTATTCTTTTACTTATGTTTGTTAAAGTACACATTTGAGAGGTTATGAAAATTCTAGTTTTCAGAAAATTTTAAATTAAAATTTCAATTTCTTCTTTAATCTTGTAATATATATGTTTGAATTTACTTACATGTAATATTTTAACTATCTTCACCTGAGCAAAAAATTAAGTATACAAGTGTAAATCCTTCATGTTCCTTTCAAATAGAATTTTAATAGAGCCTGCATTCATAATTGCAGTTTTATGACAAGACAATATCATCCCCCAATAGTACTTTATAGTTTTTTTGGACAGATATCTAAAAATGGTTGCGTGTCCCTAGTGTTAATAATATTTCTCAATGTAAATAACAATTTCTAAAGCTAAACAGATGGCGCTTTGCACAGTAATGTGAAATCATATCATTAATTGTAATCAGTTTCCTCCAAGTCACTGTATCATGAACATCATCCGTGTTTTGTTATTAAATACATTTGTTAAAGGTGTTTTGTAATGATTTAACCCCGAGATCAGATCATCATATTTAAAACCTAGTATAATCTATAGAAAATGTTCCAGAATTAAAATTATGACAAATATTTATAAAAAAAATGTTTAATTACTTGGAAGTATCTGTGGTGTATTAGTCATAACACCATAAATTGGAAGCACAGGGCGTTGGGCTTTAAGCACATGCACCTGACTGAAGTTAGCATGAGGGTTGGAAGCTCTCACTCGAATCACATATACTCCAGGTTCAGGATATTTGTACGTCTTCTCATATTTACCACCTTTCTTCACCTCTGATAACAAAAAGATAAGATAAGTAATCAAGAGACAAATATTACATATTTCAAACAGATAACAAAACAACTATACAGACCTCTTAAGAATTCCTTCTTAGATCGTCCATCTCCAAATTCCCAAACTAAGTCAACAAATGTGCCTCCACTAATTTTTATTTCAATAACAACTTGATCAGTTGTAGAAACATCAGGAGGAGTTACACTAAGTTTCAGTCCAGCCAGAGGCCTTTGTGAATCTACTTCCTGCTTTCGTAATACAGGCTCCGTAGAAAATTTGTTTGATAGTTTCATATTTACATCATGCATACCTAAATAAATTTTTTCAAAAATATTATTAGAAAAGATAAGTTTCTAAATTTTGAGTAATAAATTAGTTTTAGAAAGACAACAAAAATATAAAAAATAGTGCGGCAAAGTATTGCAATAAATTTATGAATTAATGAGAGCTTTTCTTAAGATGAGTTTATAAGAAACCCTTTAATTGCCTTATTTATTTATTACTTTTATTATTATTACTTTTTGATGTGGTTGATTGAAAAGACTTTATGAACACATGAGTTTAAAATGTTGAAAGTCGTCTTCCAAAGATCCATTTAAAAAAAAAAAAAAAAACGTTATTCAGTTTTTAAAAAATTAAAATTTTACAATTTACATTTCCCTAACCATTTAAATTTTTTTTTCAAAAATTCTTTAACCAATAACTTTGAATTTTACTAAAAAGAAAAAAAAATGATTATAAAGTATAAGCAACTACATAGTGGTAACTTAACACTGCTAAATGTAAAAGTAACATAGTTAAAAAAGAAAATTACAAATCAAGAAAATAGGAAAATCATTTAAATGAGAGGCAAAATTATGTTTGTAGCAACTATTTTATTTATTTATGATGTGCATATATAATCCTTAAAAATGGGACAGATATATTTTTTTTAAAAAATTACCTTACAATTATCAATAATTAAACTATTCATTATAAATTATTGCTTTTGTATGTAAACTTTTCAGTTAAAATAACAATTACTTGAATATAACCTAAAATCTTTCTTTGTGAAAAAATATAGGCAACAGATTTTTTTTCTTTAACATGTTATTTCAATTGAAAAAAAATCAAAGCAACAAAAAACTGGATACAAACTTATAACTTGCCTAAGAATAAAAACTAACTTTAATTAATAAAACCAAAACATCTGAACTATTTTAATTCAAACTGCCTAAAATATCAATAAAATTTTAAAATCAGAAAATTGCTAAAAATGTATTTGTAACAAAACTATAAAATACAAATCACATAATGGATAATCATAATTAATTCTCAAACAAAGGTTTAACTTATTTGAGGATAAATTGAATAATTAACTTTACCTTTAAAATTAAACATTGAAACTAACCTATTTTTTTACTAAACATGTATTGAACACCAAGCTCTATTGGATTATTTATAATAGCTTGGAAATAGTGCACTTTTTGAGTATTAGCTAAAGCATCTTGTGGTATCACAGTTTCTTGCATATCAAATGTAACAGCTCCTAAATCTGCTTGTTCTTTTAAAAATGGCTTTCTGTAATAAAGAAATAAAATGCATATAATATAATAAAAAAGAAATATAATAATATTATAGTAAAAATTAAACATTATGTCTCATTATTAAAAAATAATGAAACATTAATAATATATTATTAGTAATATATTATCATTAAATCTAGTTCAGTGGTTCCAAACCTATTTCGAATCATTCACTAATTTTTCAACTCCTAAAAGCTGATTCCCCCACACACCTGTTCCAAAATTTAAAAAATATATACATACTATGTTTATTCAGATACAGATTATTTCTTAACAAAATTCAAAAATAAAACAACAAAAGAATAGACAATTTTGGCATATACATCTGTCTAGGTTTTTCTGAAAGGTACCTATTTTGTGAAATTTTAGACATAATTTGTGAAAAATTAAAAATTATATTTAAAAATCAACACAAAAATATGGATTTATCGTTTCTTAAGGGATACAAAAATAAAATTTTAAGAAAAAGTATTTTGTGAAACTACCGTTTTTCCTAAAGTTTAATTTGCGAAGGTAACGTTAAAAGGTAGTAAATTCGGCCCTGACAGACCCCTGTCTATGGTTCAATAATTTTTTTGTATTAAAAAATAATAATTTAAACAAAATAAATTAAGAAATCCTTCAATTATAAGTATACAGCAATCCATAGTTTTGTTTGTCACTTTTTGTGATTTCCTATTCCTCGATTATTCTTAGACACTGTGAATAATGCTGGCGAGGTCTGAAGCAGTTTTTTCTTTAAACTTCAATCTATTTCCCTAAGATGTTTTCATTTGACTCAGTGGAGTCTGATTTTCTTGCATTTAATGAAAAGAATAGGAGATCAAAGATAAATCGGATGTCGTTATGGAGAAATCTTTAGAGGCAGGCATTGGCTCACATTGGGCTGTCTGGCCAACTATGATGATGATGTTTTTATTTGTAACAGAGTTAAAAAGCCTAACTTGCAAAGATAATTGGACACAAAACGAAATAATACCCTGAAAGCCACTATTAGCCACAGAAATAGTACCCCATAACTTGGATAAGATTCACACATTAAAAATTAAATCTGAAACTGATTCCTCTTTAAATATATTCTTAGTTTCCGAATCTGTATTATTTAGTTCAAGTTCAGTTCTATTGTACAATTCAGTTCAAGAAATTCACCTTGCAAAGTAACAAAGACATTATCAACAGATAAACTAAATAGATTTTTATTTTGCCTAACTTATCAAAGAATTCCGGAAAGAATCCTCATAATCCCTCTTGGTAAGGAAGATCTGTTTTAGTAAAAAATAATAATAAATTCATCTTTGAAAATCTAAGAGGATAAAGTTATAAAGATAATCAATGTGTAAATAATCACTTTCAACATTTAAACAAAAACTACTAACTGTTAAAACAGAAATTCTGAAACCAACAGTTACATCTAGTTCATGTGATGTTCAGTGTTTAATAGACAGCATGATAAGAACTGGGAGTCTATTGACAAAACCAAACTACTTTTTTTAATAAAGGCAGTAACAATAATCATTTTACTAAATTCATTTCCTTGTAATATTTTAATATATTTTTTATTTCCTTTCGAATGTGTATAATCTTCAAAATGCATCAAACTTGTAACCTTTAATCTTCCTTTTAACTTAAATCAGAGGCATAATGACTGACACTTATGAACTTAAGTTAACAGAAACCTAAGTAAATGTTTTATTAATTTACTACATAAACAAATCATAGAGGCAGATTTGAAGTTTTGGCATGGTAAGGAAAAACATAACAACACATTTAAATTAAATACGAGGGTTGCTATTTATATTTCTGGCCTAATAATGAAAAAACAAATATGTAGGATCGAAATTGGTTTTATTGTTTTTCAAAATATTCTCCATTATGANATAAAATGCATATAATATAATGAAAAAGAAACATAATAATATTATAATAATAATGAAATACTATGTTTCATTATTAAAAAATAAGGAAACATTAATTAAATATTATAATTAATTAAATATTATAATTAATTCTAATTCAGTGGTTCCAAACCTATTTCGAATCATCCGCTCTTTTTTCAACTCCTAAAAGCTGATTCCCCCACACACCTGTTTCAAAACTTAAAAAATATATACATACTATGTTTATTGAGATATAGATTATTTCTTAACAAAATTTAAAAATAAAACAACAACAAAATAGACAATTTTGGCATATACCTATGCTTCAATATTTTTTTTTGTATTAAAACATAATTTAAACCAAAATTAAAAAATTCTTTAATTATAAGTATACAGCAATTCATAGTTTTGTTAGTCACTTTTTGTGATTTCCTATTCCTCGATTACTCTTAGATACTGTGAATAGTGCTAGCAAGGTCCGAAGTAGTTCTTTTTTAAAACTTCAATCTATTTCCTTGAGATGTTTTCATTTAACTCATTGGAGTGTGATTTTCTTGCAATTAATGAAAAGATTTGGAGATCAAAGATAAGTCGGAAGTCGTAATGGAGAAATCTTCAGAGGAAGGCATCGGCTCATGTTGGGCTGTCTGGTCAACTATGATGATGATGTTTTCATTTGTAAGAGGCTTAAAAAGCCGAACTTGCAAAGATAAGTGGACACAAAACGAAATAATACCCTGAAAGCCACTATTAGCCATAGACATAGTACCCCATAACTTGGATAAGATTCACACATTAAAAAATAAATCTGAAACTGATTCCTCTTTAAATATATTCTTAGTTTCGGAATCTGTATTATTCCAATCAAGTTTGGTTCTTTTATACAATTCAGTTCAAGAAATTCACCTTGCAAAATATCAGAGATATTATCAACAGATAAACTAAATAGATTTTTATTTTTCCTAACTTATCAAAGAACTCTAGAAAGAATCCTCGAAATCCCTCTTGGTAAGGAATATCTGTTTTAGTAAAAAAATAATAATAAATTCATCTTTGAAAGCCTAAGAGGATAAAGTTATAAAGATAATCAATGTGTAAATAATAACTTTTAACATTTAAACATAAACTACTAACTGTTAAAACAGAAATTCTGAAACCAACAGTTCTTGTTATGTTCAGTGTTTAATAGACAGCATCATAAGAACTGGGAGTCTATTGACAAAACCAAACTATTCTTTTTAATAAAGACAGTAACAATAATTATGTTACTAAATTCATTTCTTTGTAATATTTTAATATATTTTTTATTTCTTTTTGAATGTGTGTAATCTTCAAAATGCATCAAACTTGTAACCTTTAATAATCTTCCTTTTAACTTAAATCTGAGGCATAATGACTGGCACTTATGAACTTAAGTTAACAGAAACCTAAGTAAATGTTTTACTAATTTACTACATAAGCAAATCATAGACACAGATTTGAAACTTTGGTACGGTAAGGACAAAACATAACAGCAAATTTAAATTAAATAGTGTAGTCACATTACTGTCACTGTTGTAAAGAAGATATAAATTTATTTTCAACAAAGACTTGCAAGTATTTACTAAAAACACTTAATATTAATAATATTAATAATTAAATAAAAGTCTCATTTTTAAACAAGAAAAAAACTTGAATGCTTTTTAAGTATAATATATTGCATGCATAATCTCTATAATTAATCTTAATCTTTTCATTATCAGTGTTATCAGTAGGAGAGGAAGAATCAAATTATTTTTGGAACGTGCCTTCACAAATACGAATGATAGGTACAGATGATATATCTGGTATATGGTAGTGATTTGTTTTCAAAGTTCCTAATAGCTAAAGTGTTAAGAAACGATCTCAGGAATTTAAGTATTAGTTTAAATAAAAAAATAATGCATGTATTTTTTACCTATATGCCACTTTTGCCATTGCAGAAATAAAAGCAATGAGGTCTCCAGGGAAAACTTCAGGAGTATCTGTTAGTGTAACATACTGATGACCAGCTTCAACCATGATCTGTACAACATGCGCAATTTCAAATTCAAGAACTTTGTCAAGATTATGAGAAGGGCATTTAAGTATTTTATTGCTGGTGCAGGTTTGTAGTTGGGCACAAAATGCCTCTTCTTTAGTACAACTTCGAACATCCTTTACAACAGGACAAACAGCATTTTCTGGACATTTTTTCTTCAGGACCTATGAATATAAGGTATTATCAATCAGAGAATACACTCACATATGGTATTCTTCATTCAAGAAAGCTCTTTCAAAATTTAGAGTGGTTAAACAGTTTAACAAATACAGAAACTTGGCTAAAATAAGAAGAGATAATTAGGGCTCGAAAAATTTCAAACTTTTTACATGTCCCGGCAGCAATATCCATACTTCAAAAACCATACCCAAATTAAACTCTTGTGTGCACAAAAATCTTTTTCAAATGCATGTTTATGAAAACAGATTATGGTACCAAGAATTAAACTATTGAGAAAAAAATGACATTGATATCTTTTTTGACACTTTTGAGTATAAATCAGAAGTGTTAAGCATTATTAATATAAAAGTATTCAGTATTATAAACAAAGCACAAAGAAGTGTTGATATAGTTATTTTGCACAAATAAGCACTGATATAGTAAATGCAGAGCATTATTAATATTAAAAAGAATTAACATCGAAGTTTTATGTATTATTGGCAAGTGCATGCTCTGTAGCGAGCTCAATATTTAGGTCTTACGAAATATAGTGAATTTATTTTTATTTTTCTCCACTTATTTTGGAAAGTGCTAAGTTAATTATTTTTTGGGTTTTCTGATTAAATATTTATGTAAGAGTAAAAAGAAATGACTGATCAGAATTTTTACATGACTTGGGTATGAAAAAGAATATAATTTTTGAGCCTAATAACTATTAAATTAGCCCAAATTAAAATTTGAAAAGTAATTTAATGTAGTGCAACTATAAAATCAAGTAGTAATATAAAAAATAAATTTTAACTCAAGTTGAGAAAACCCTATCTATCAAAAAACGTCACATTTTAAGAAGAACTATGCATTTATTGCTCTTCATGATTGTCTAAAACAAAAAAATTGTAATTTACTGTTAACACCAAGTTCTATGAAAATTATATGATTCTGATGGAAATGTAAAGTTTATTATAAAATAAAATTTTACCATAACAGCCATAGCACCAGATTCTAAAGCCCAGAGTTGTACAGCAGAAAGACGACCCCTGGTATTTACAGGTTCTATTTGAGGTATTACAAGCATGTAGCCAGATTCTTTAGGAGCCATATCAGGTGTAAGGTGTTGAGGGATCAAAGGTCCTATTGCTTGAACATTTGTATCTGAATGGAAACAATAAATAAGGTCCATGAGATCCTTGCATTAAGAGTTTCAATAACAGTTTTTTATACAAAATTTACATTAGTTAAATACAGTGGAACCCCGATTTTACGTTGTCCGTTTCGTACGTAATCCCGCTTCCTACGTCATTTTCTGCTGATCCGTGAAAATTGTCTATACCGATAATGTTAAAAAATCCCGGATTTTGCGTTACTCCTTTTATGAAAATCCCGTTTGATGCGTTTTTCTACAAACAGATCAAAAATTTTTTTTTTATTCTATTCAAAATGGTTTTACTCATTTTTCCGTGCTAGCATACCAAATGAGATTTTCAGCCGGTTTTGTTTGAGTTTGAAAGCTATAGCATTTTTTCTCATTTTTGAAACCTCAGTCATCGTGTTCTTTTCTCGAAAAAAGATGTCGAAACTAAAATGCTTTTCTCTGGCCGAAAAGGCTGAAATCATCTAAAAAGCTAAAGAATTTCATGGCACTAAAGTTGATCTTGCTAAATCTTTGGGTATTGCTTATTCAACTTTACAAATGATTTTAAAGCAAGAAGCTTCAGTAGAACTAAACGCTGAAAAACTCGGAAAATATGCCAAGAAGAGAAAAGCCCTTTAAACATCTCCGTATGATGAGTTAGAAAACATTTTAATGAACTGGTTCAAGGAAGCCAGAGCAGCAAAGATTCCTATAAATGGATTCATCCTGAGAGAAAAGGCGCTTGAAATTGCTGAAAGGCTTAAGCTCCAAGGCTTCAGTGCATCAAATGGCTGGATCGATCGATTAAAAAAAAATGAAAAATTTATTCTTCAAATCTATCTGTTGCGAATCCGATAGTGTGGATATGACAATTGTGTAACAGTGGAAAGAAGAAACTCTGCCAAATTTATTAAAGGGCTATAATCCAAGTGTCATATTTAATGCGGACGAAACGGGATTGATTTTCAACCTATTGCCAAACAAGACATTGACAATTAAAGGTGAAAATTGCCATGGAGGAAAGCTTTCAAAAATGGGCTCTACTGTTTTGCTCTGTGCAAATGCCGATGGAAGCCAAAAGTTAACACCTCTTGTGATCGGTAGAGCAGAGAAACCACGGTGTTTCAAAAATATCAAAAGTTTTTCTACCGATTACACTTCAAACAAAAAAGCATGGGTGAAGCAAGCATTATTTAAAAATTTTCTTCGAAAACTGGATAAGAAAATGAATTTTCAAAAGCGCAATATAATTTTATTCCTAGACCAATGCACTGCTCATTTAAACCTTAAATTGAAAAACATGCGTGCGAAAAACGTGCCAACAGCTGATCAAGCGATATAAAGTATAAAACTCTAAAACAATTTTTACTTGCAAATGTAAATCAAGATGCAAATTTGCAAAAAAATTGTTAGTATTGAACGAGCTGTATACGAAATTGTAGCTAGAAACGAAAAGCAAGTAAAGATTACTCATTTTTTCCATTAATTTAACTGGTAGGTGTCAATTTTTAAAAATATGCATAGATTTTTCTTAACCCCGATTTTACGTTATTCCGCTTCGAACGTTTTTTATCGCTAGTCCGACAGAAAACGTAAAATCGGGGTTTCACTGTATATATATTATGAGTAAATCAAAATGTATTTATTAATATTTTTATGAACAGGGAATCTATGCAAGAAGGAAGAAACTATTGTATAATACTAAAAACCTTGTAACTTGTATTACAAATATTAAAAAGAAATTAACATAGCCATAATTTTGGAATGAGTTAAGGTTTATTTCGTGAAAAATATTATAAGATTTGTTAATGTACCTATCTGTTAAGACAATAGTTTTTGTAATTCTTATAAATAGCAATATTGCTAAAAATCAGGCTAAAAGAATATCAGATTTTTTTACATTCCTTTCTGGCAAGTTAGTCTACAAAATACATGTGTCTGACTGAAACCCTTAGATGCCCAAATGTTATTTTTAATACATCTTAATGAAAGCATATGAATGTGTTTATTATTAATTTACATCTTAACAAAAATCTTTGAATTGCCTTTTATTAAGTTTGATGCATACCTGGGAGCCCCATTAAAACTTTATCAGATTCATCCCCATAATCAATTTCCATTGTTACAAATCCTCCAGTAATTGTAGTTAAATTACATGTCACAACTACAGTTGGCTTCACTACAGGAGGACAACTGAACACTACACTTTTATCTTCAATCATGTCTGCAACTGTCACTTCCGTACTTGCAAGTACTCTGTAAGACTAGATAAGAACAAAACATTCATATTAATGTTGAAAGCATATTGCAACAGATAGAAAATATTATAGTAAACAAATATAATTTAAAGTAATATAATTGTTTCATTGAGAATGAAATTGTTAGAAAAATGCAAATTATAAATGGAATCAAGAGAATACAATTAATAGGTGCACAGTTAACAAAAAAAATCTCAACTCGTGCCAAAATTTAGAAAATAATAACATAAATGCAAGTAGCTTTTACATACTGATTTTTATTCATGCTGGCTCCTAATAAATTAGTTTGACACCAAAAATTTTGTTTTCTTGTAGAATCCAATGTAAAATACTAAATAGAATATCTTTCTATAGATTGACTCTTGTAAATGACACAGATACAGGAGTAATTGTAATCCTACCTATAGAATATACACTAGGAATACATGCACAGCCTGTTACCAAAGGAGTAACTGCAACCCTCATATTGTCTATGTAGAGTTGTCTGCCTATAAGCTAAAACTTGTTTGGAAGAAAAAATCTACTTAATTGACATAAAAAAAAAATTATTATTAAACTAATTTCATCAAACTTAAAAAAAAAAATTTAAAAAAAAAATAATAAAATAAAAATAAAAAAAACTGAAATTATAACATTAAAAGATACTTTTACATTTAAGGTGCATTAAATAATTTTAATACATGCTCTTATAAACATCAAAGATGCTTACAAAAATAAACAATATGGGCATTGAAGCATTACTTTCCGTTGTAAGAGGTACCTAATATCTTAATATAGGAACTGTAATGATGGGTTTTATGGGCTCCTAAAATGGATAAGTAGGTACCCATTAAATTCAAAATGCCGAAGAACTAAATCAATGTTGTTCAAAGATTAGATGTATATAGTTTATAGCAAAAATAAGCAAAACTTCAACTGTTTAATTTTAAAAAACTCTACATTCATGTAAATATTATACATAACTTGCTGCACTTACTCCTGTATTTCACTTCTATGCACTTACTGTTTATCTTAAAAAATTTTAAAACAAATTGACATTTTTCTTAAAACATTATGGAATAATATTCAGTTAATATCGATTTAAAAACCGAAATTCATGTGTTCAATAAAAGCTATTTCTTTAAAAATCTTTTTTTTTTTTGAAAAAAATTGAGCACCCCTAATTTAGACTATTTAAAGACAACAGAATATTAAAGTATGAGGTAGAAGATGAGATTATGCAGCTAAGAAGTTAAAACTTGCAAAGCCGTATTTGAAGAAGTTACTATTTATATCAAAGATATACTCACTTCAGGGGCACCAACAGGTTTGGCTGAAACCTGAACTTTATATTTTCCAGGCACAAAGTATTTATGTGCCTGAACATCATGCACATCATTGAAAGTTCCATAACTGCCATCTCCATAGTCAATGGTGAATTCTACCGTTTCTCCAGTAGCATGGCTTACAGAAAATACAACATCAATTGCAGTCTGGACTACATCATCAGATGGTTTAACTGATAGCTCAGTTACAGATATAATTATGTTTGATCGATAGAAGACAAGGAGATCTGGATTTGTACCACATTCTTCTGGTGGTGCAACCGGTACATTTTCAACTATAAGTAAAATACATAAATTTAATTAAACAATGCTTTAGTCCAGGGTTGGCAAGTTTTTGACACATGACGGTTTTCACCGGTTTATACCATGGTTTTTACCGTCATGTCAAAAACCCATAGTTTTGATAAAACTATATTTTTATTTGAGTTTAACTGCTTATAATTTAAAATTAATTCATTTTTGGGCAATAAAATTGGAAAAAAATTTGTTAAAAGATATTTAAGAACAGATTCTTGCATTTTCCCAACATGATTATATCAAAACATACTATTTGAAGTAAAATATTAGGATACTAAACAAAATTTTCAACATTTCCAAGCATCATTTTGTTTGGCATATTACATTACTGAAGAATGTCAAGTCATTCTTGACTTAGAGTTTGTTAGTAGTTACAAGTTTTGAAAGTTTTGTTTAGCTTATTTCTAATATTTAAGAAATGCCAAATTTTAAATTCTTCTTTTTAGTTCTTGAATTTATTAATAGTTCCAAGCTTTTTTGTTTGTTTGTTTGTTTGTTTGTTTGTTTGTTTGTTTCTAACAAGTAAGAAGTGCAAAATTTTGAATCCTTTGCAAATCAAGCTATAATGATAAAAGTATCACTATTTTCAATAAGTATATAATAATATTTCTATATGAATGTACATCCTTCTATAAGATTACATGTATATAGTTGCAAAATCAATAGCAATCATTTACAACATTCATTTATAAAAGCAATTATGTGAAAATAATATATCGTCCACAATGCTTTAGTCCAGGGTTTTTCCTATGCCATAAATGAAAGAAAACAGTAGGTTTTTGACTGTTTTTACCACTGTCATGTCAAAAACCAGTTTTTGACAGCAAAAACCCAACCCTACTTTAGTCTTATAAAAAGCAAATATAAGAATAAAAACTTATAGCTATTAAATTTAAGGAACAAAAGAAAATTTTATAAGTTCTGCATTAAAAAGAAATTATGTAACAAAAGCTAAAATAATTCTCTTATGTCCATTGCTAAAAATAAAACCTTTTACATTGATAATTTGGGATATTTACGTATCAACATTTGTTCACACGTACTATCTTTGCCAAGATGTCAAATGATTTTTTAAGTTGCAAAAGTTTTTAAAAAAATATATGTTGCAGTTTGCCTGAGGGTGGCTGAGGTTTATACCTTTTGAGTTGGCCCCCTTTTGTGATATTTTTAGTTTCTTGCAGGCCACTGCCCAGAAGACAACGAAACTAGATGATGATTTTAGCCTAGATATGAAAATCATTCCAGCAGTTTTCTTTTATTTCTTGAAAATTACCAAATACTCAAATAGAATGAGTATTGTTTATATCAAGAAAATTCATTCTAATTCAGCTCAAAAAGGAAAAAAAAAACAAATTGATATTGCCTAAAGGAATATTTTCATATTATGATCTTATGTGCCAACTACAACCGCAAAGTGGCAAATGGATTTTAAACTTGTAAATTTCTTTTTAAGAAAAAACACATAGTAGAGGTTTGCCCAGTAATGGCTACGAGTTATAACCTTCAAGTTGGTATCCTTCCGTGATGTTTTATTGATTTGTTAAGGAGGGATTTCTCGCAGCATACTGTATGTAATTTGGCAATTATTTTGTCGTAGATCATGATACAGAAAAATTTCCCTAGCTATATCTACAGCTCCAAATTTAAACCTTGACGTAGGTAAGCCAGTAAAATAGAGGTATGATTCATGGCTGACACAAAAAAAATCAAAATAATAAATTTGGTGATCATTTTGACATAGAAATAATTCGTAGAAATTTATTATTTACCTTAGAGTAAATTTTAAAAAAATTACATATAATGGTTTGCTCAAGGAAGGATACGAGTTTCACCTTTTTGGTTTAACCCATTCAGTGAATTTTCGTTTTTTTTTCCTATTACTAAAGTTTCTAGCCTGCTACAGCCCAGATATCCCTATAAATAAGTAATTATTTTGACGAAGAAACCTATACAGGAAAGTTTCCCGTTTACCTATAATTTTAACGTAAAGTATTCTAAATTAAAATTATAATTCAGAAATGTTATTAAAAAGAATAAGAAACAATAAACCCACGATGAGTATAAATGTATGATTACACATGACAGAGTGTTGTTGTTGTTGTTTTTTAATTTACGTCGCACTAGAGCTGCACAATGGGCTATACATGACAGAGTGAGGGCAGACAAATGATAGATTACGAAAAAAAATAAACAAAAATCATACTAGATAAAATGTCAATGAATAATTTGAAATGGNTTTGGATAAATTTGAAGTAGTCACATTTTTGAAATGCCATTTCTCGCCATTTTCTATCGCGTAGTCATCTGAGTAGGAAGGACAGGGAGGAGGCGTTACTCATTATGATTAGTATACTGCGCATGCTTAAAAACATGCCTTGAGGGATCATCCTGTTTCCTGAGGATTCACAGGCATCCTCACGCTATACACTACCATATTTATAAGCAACTCAGGTGAGCGATTGGCTATTTTCAATTTCAAAACAACTGAACACGCTAAATATTTTGTATTTACGAACAAACATATAGTTCCAGAAGCTGGCTTTCGACATTGATGTTCCCATCATGAGGAACATTTCCGTACATGCGGAGCCCTGTTTTCCCTATCCGGGCCAATCTTACTCATTGCTGTTCACTGCAGAATAAAATGAATGCAAGAAACATTTTTCTCTCCAATCAAGCAGCTTTCAGTAAGAATACCCTCTAATTACAAAATAAAAATTTAATTTTAGAAATGAAATGAAAAAAATCACGAATGCGGTTCGCTCACTTCGGATCACCGTCGAGGGAGAATGAGTAACTTTATTTGCGTCGCTCAAAAGTTGCTTGTTGTTGTAGTTCATTTACGTCGCTCTAGAGCTGCACAATGGGCTATTGGCGACGGTCTGGGAAACATCCCTGAGGATGATCCGAAGACATGCCATCACAATTTTGATCCTCTGCAGAGGGGATGGCACCCCCGCTTCGGTAGCCCGACGACCTGCACGCGAAGTCGAGCACTTTTCGATAGAACAGTTTAACGAGGACCAATACCACACACCCTCGGGCCTTATGCAGACTGATCCAAGTGGTCACCCACCAGCACACTGACCGCAGCCAGTGATGCTTGACTTCGGTGATATGCTGGGAACCGTGTCTTAACGATCAGTCCACTGCGAGAGCACTAAAGTTTGCACAATTGGCTGTTAGCGATGGTTTTGGGAAACATACCTGATGATCCGAAGACCTGCCCTCTCAATTTCAAAGGGATGGGTAAACGGGATGGCTCCCATGCTCTGGTAACCATCAAAGGACTGTCAAGCGAAATCTAGCAATATACAGTAAAACAGTTTAACGGGAATCAGTTCCACACACCCTCCATCCCAACGCAGGACGGATCAAAGTGGTTAACCACCCACATAGCTACCACAGTCAGTGATGCTTTCATTATCTAATGGGAACCATGTCTTACGACCGAGGACAGTGGGACCGAGGGTCCTACTGACCAGCGAAAAGGTCACCAATGAGGCTCTCCTTTTTTCTCTGAAATGATCTAAAGTACGTGAACTGCATTCAGAGCGAATGGATGCCCGCGAGGTCATGAGTTCGATTCTCCCTGGCCGAAGACTCTGTGTCCAAATGGCAAGTTAAATATGCCGGGGTTACAACGTCCTCCAAGTTCGCAAAACAAACCAATACCTCTAGAGTACCAGGTCGGAGATTGATCATGCTCATATTAAGTCAAAATTGCGATCTGCAGATGAATGGATGGTTTGTGAATGTGTACTCCCTGTAAAACGGGATGTGTCGTATGTATGTTGTGTTGGATCGTCCTTCAGGAGGTTTTCCAGTACGTCGCCAATAGCCCATTGTGCAGCTGTAGTGCGACGTAAATAAATGTATCAGTACCAGAGAGAATGATCCTTAAGGGACTGTTCCCCTGTATGGGATTCACGCTTCTTCTATATTTTTCGCTGAAAGTCTATTTTTCTACAAGTTCCTTTCAAGTTCTCATTCTTCCTAGTTGGTGATCGGAGTTGTGTCAATCGCATACAGTACGAACCAGCCTTTAGCCTATCTGCAGCTTGTTGAAACTCCGTCCGTACTGTTCATAGCATTGCACCTTTCAAACACACAATGCGCCTAAGAATCTGTTTCGAAATTTAAACGACATTATTTGTTATGAAAGTATGTTGCTTTATCATATAAGAAACACGAGCCTTTTAAATCAGTTAATCATTTCGAGTAGCATTTATGGCCTATAGAAAAGGCTATTTTGGGAATGCTTTACGTGTTAGATCGAGAGATCAAGCACAAATAAGTTTATTTCGATATTAATCACCAAAATATCACCAAAATAAGTTTATTTCGAAAAACTTAAGAGCTAATTGTAGATTTACCTTTACTATCTTTAGCACACAAGCAGAGCTTTTGTTGTAATATTCCCGAATATGGTAGAAAAAATGATCCACACTTAGCTCTACACTCTAAATCAGAGATAATGTTGTTAGTAGGATCATAACCTCCGGGCGAATAGTGGAAATACTCAGCTCCATTCAGATAAATGCAATCACCATCAGTTACTGCTAATGTATCTGTAAATTTAAAGAAAAAGAATCATTTTTACCACTAACTTTTATAATTCATTTCATTCTTATAAAAATTTGTATTTTATTGCATTTTGATTTTATATACATATGGGTAGTATATAAAATACTTTTTTTCCCAAATCACCATATAGTAGCTCATGGATAACTTCCTTAATATTCATCCCATTGAATTTGACATTTATTTCTTTACAGCTTTTAATCAAAATCAATTAAAAGATAAATCATCATTTAAATAGTATTCAGTATTTTAAAACAATTTAATTTTATATGTAGCTGTTTTGTGAAAAACAAATTTTTAGAATATCACTTGTGTTGCAAAAAATTATGCACGCTTCTAAATTCAAGAAAAAAAAATTCAAGAAACTAATAAAAATTGTAAAAGTTATCGAGTTTTTATTATGAAATGTTCCCAGAATAAAGTATTTTATGCTATTGATCAAATCAACATTTAATTTACAAAATTTTTATTCATCAACTATTTAAATATGGCCTTTACTATTTTATTAACTATATAAAACCATTTCGAATGAAATAAAAATATTTTTTTTATTTATTATCAATAAATCAACATAGAAAAACACTTATATGGGTTTTGAGATAATCATAACGGTTTTTTCGCTTAAATTAATTGTTCTTATAAAAATGGAAATGATATTTTTTAATTATCTAAATGAAAGAAAATTAATATTTTTTCAAGAATTTTTTTTTAATGTTTTATTGCTTGATTCGTAAGTAAAATACAAGGTGAGTATTATAAAGGAAAAGTGAGAATTATAACACTTAACTACTGACTAAAGCACACACATTAAAGTAATGAGAATTGAATTGAATTATTTAAGTTCTGATAAATAAGGATTTTACCTTTGAAATAAAAATCTGGAATTTGATATTTAAAGAAATTTTTTTTAATTAGCTTCTAATTCTTTCTCAAACTAGAATAGACATTTTCATATATACATTCCCTTAAATTTTATATCTAATGTAGTTATAGAGACGTGCCAAATCTCTCATCAGTAGGCAAATCACCATGTTTTATGTCTAAAAAAATACTTCCCTGATTTATCAAGAGGAAAATTCCTTCCCTGTAATGAGAATACTTTAGCTATTATTTAAAATTTTTAAAAAATGGTTCAAGGGGGTGATCTCATATATGCTAATTAATTAGTGCAGACCGTATTTTGAGTTATGAAATCAGACACAAGCAAATACTTTCATTGAATTAAAAAAAAAAATTTCAATTGAATTTCCGATTTTTGACCCCCAAAATATAGGGGCAGCCACAATATCTGATACATGGTAGCAATAGTTAGGTAATTTTTATTATATGACTCTTTTTAAAATTCGATTTCTCAAAAACTATTCGACCAATTTATTTCAAATTTCGTATTGTGCAATTTAAAAAAATGGTGTAAAAAATTGTAAACCTTACATTTTAAATTTCTTTCGACTATTATTAAATAAACTAATAAAAAAAATAATAAATATTTATACTAAAAGTTATCTTTTGCATGGAATTATCTTCGAATAAACAAATTTTATAATTGTGTGCAAAAATGCTTGAATTCGCTTTAGAAGTTCACGAGCTATGGCGAAATACGCAAAAAGTAAAATTAGCATTAAAGGGTCCAAACATTAGATCACTCGCCTTATAAACTATTGGGTCCATGTTTCCCAGATTGCGGCTACCTCCTATATTTTGGAGGTCAGAAATCCGAATCTATCTTGGTAAAGGTTTGTTTATTCAGAGAAAGTCTGTTTTATGTCTGATTTCGCAACTTAAAATATCATTAATTAGCATATTTGAGGTCACCCTCTCGAACCTATAAGACTAAGTCCTAGAACGTAAGGATCCAATTATTAGATTCTTCTGGATAGTCATTTTTCCAATTATTAGATCTTATTCTGGATAATCATTTTTTTTTTTTTTTTGAGCACTTTATACTCGTATATTTTGAACTTGCAGATGTTTCGAAATAATTGCTTTTGTTCTTATAAAGTTATGCATATTTTTTAAAATAAGTTACACAAATTTCAAGCAAAACTGGAATTTTTTTTTTTTTTTAATCAAATAGCTATCTAAAGGAACTTCAAAGGAAATCAGGTATTATATAACATTATTATAAAATTATAAATACGAAATTTAATACTTACAATTAATCCTTGTTACAATAAAGACCTGAAAAAATATATATTTTTGTCAAATTCAATAATTAAATAATGAAATTTATTACTGTGCATTTCAAAAATTTAACCGAATAAAAATATATTTAAAACCTGCTGAAATCTGGAATTTTGTACTAATGAATACTTCACTTGAAAATAGATTAATTCCGTAAAACAACTATAAATAATAATCTAGAAACAAAATCCGATTTAAGTTATTTATTATCCAATTGTTAAAATAATTTTCTGTTTTAATTAAGTTAAAATTTAAAAAAGAGGAATTAGTCAAGTACGCAAGTGAAATTTTTTCTAAAAGAATGAAATAGTTGATTTTATTTTAAGAGAAACAAATTATTTTTAATACATTTAATTCATTATTTTTTTGACACAATTAATTTCTCCATTTAATATTCAAAACATATAATTTTTTTAAATTAACATACATAAATACAGCGTATGTCACCATTCCTTCCGAGGTTTAGAAAGCAGATAACAAAGAAAATATCACCCATTACATCAACAAATTTTAATTTACTTGATAATGAAACATCACAAGTTTTTTTTTTCTCTACAAGTGTTCAATATGTGAACCTTTGATGATGTGCGAAACTTTAAATCTGATGTCAAATTCTTGCCACACTCGCTGCAACAGGTCACGATCAATGGTAGTGAATGCAGTTGTGTTTCGTCATCGTAATTCTGAAAAATTACGTGGCATAGGGGGTATGAACACGCAGTCTTTGATATGACCCCATAAAAAAAACAGGAAGTTAAGTCTGGAGAGCGTGGTAGCCATGGCAGAAGGCAATTCGTCGCTCAACCTGCTTTCAATTTAACGACAGAGAAGCTCGTTATTTAGAAAATCATGATTATCTGTGAGATTATGGGGGTGCCCTATCTTGTTGAAAATTAACGACACATTGTTATGAGGCCGCCACAGCATATCGAGGTAAAGAACGCCATTAACTGCAAATTGACTTTCGACTTGAAATCTGCCGTGTCACCAAAGGTTCACATATTGAACACTTGTGAAGAAAAAAAAACTTGCGATGTTTCTTTATAAATATATATGATAAATTTCTCTCAAGTACTTTTAAAATAGAATTTGGGTTCTTGTGCGCAAGTGGTTCGTTTTTTAAATAATCTGCGCAGACTACTTATAAGAAACCGTGTGGAGGCTTTCTGATGTGGGAGGTGATGGCTCTCCTGACCAAATTATTGGGTCCATATTTCCCAGACGCCGGCCTGGTGGCCGAGCGGTTAGCGTGCCTGACTGCGAAGCCATAGGCTGTGGGTTCGAATCCCGCTCTGGGCATGGGTGTTTCTCTGTCTCTTTGTGCTGTCCTCTGTTGTGTGTGTGTATGATGTGTGAATGTGGCCCACCCTATAAACGGCTTTGTGGCAGTGTGGCGTGGGCAATGTTGCTCGCCTCCGTGGCTTTGGTTCACAGGTGTCCACTGGGTAACGCGAAATGAGCAACAATTCTGGCATAGTATAGGCAAAAGATTCAAAATTCAGTGCCAGCCATTGGAAAAAAAAATATATTTCCCAGACCTCCTCTGCGCCAACCCCTATATTTTGGAGGTCATAAATTCGAATCTGCAGAAAACAAGTATGTTTATTCAGAGAAAGTACGTTTTTGCGTCTGTCCAAATTAATTAGCTGTATGAGGTGAATTTTTTGAACCATTAACCATACCTGCCAACTCTTCCGGAAGATTTTATTTTTATATTTAAAGTGGTAGTAAATATACACTATTTTTTCTATTATAAACTTAATTTTTAAATGATTTTGATCACCACTATTCTTACAAAAATTAAGCACATATATTAATTTGCGTTACTATCATGGATACTTAAGTTTGCTCATATACAACGTATTTGTTTGCTTAAATTTGAAGTTTTAATTCCATTTTAATACCACTGGGAAAAATGATAATGGAAGGGATTAAAAGTTGGCAGGTATGCAGTTACCTCTTCGAGACGGGCGAGTCATATATGCATTCTCAGGGTGTCGGTAATCAGGATGAAAAAGATTAAACTGGTAGCCAAACTATTTTTTACAGCAGTTTATTTGTGGGCGGGGTAATAACAGTTTGCTTTATTTAATTCACCAATTATGTAGTTCGAATTAAATATTGTATAGTTACACTTTCAACACACAAGGATTAGATGTGTTAGATTCATTTAAAGTGAAAGCAAAAATAAGTCTATCAAATTAGCAATGCCCAAACTTAAGCTACCGCTTTTTATTTTTTACTATCCTGATTCTATAAGAATACATTCATGACTCACCCGTCCCGAAAGGGTTAAGATTGAGTCCGATCATCAGATCAAAAGTTATTCAGGATGGCCCGTTTTTTATTTTGGACATTGCACTAGAAGCTTGAATTTATAATAATTTTATTTATTAAAGCTGTTGTGTTGATGTTGCTATGGCGACCGAAAAAAAATCGAAGAAGAAAAAACTCAGGCAATGTGATGGAACAATTCATTTAAATAAAAAGGTAGTTTTTCAGGAAATTGGAGTCAGAAAATCATTTTATGTATATTAATAAAAGAAGAGAACGAAAGAATTTTAAACTTTCTGGCAGAGTCTAGCAACAACGTTAACACATTGCTGACCGGCAACTTTTCTGAAAATAACCCCCATGTGACTGGCTATTGTTTTGAAAGAGGATGTGGAAGTAAAACAATATAAATAAACTTTAAAAATTGTAAATTTTTAATGCCGTATGATAAAAAGTGTAACAATAACTTGCATGTAATGGTAATGGTACACCACAAGTTTTGCAAATATATCAAATTTCATAAAGTTATAATAAATTGGTAGAGTACTAAATAGTAAAACTTGAAAAGTAAGGAATATTACGCCCACTTTTTAAAATAGTCACCACGAGATCACTGCTAACGAAAACACGGGTTAACTCGTGACCGGCCACCAACGTTTGACCACGAAAACAGGAGTCAATTCGTGCCCGATCAGCTATGTGTTAAGAGTAATTTTTCGCATTTGCAATTTCGATCGAAATTGAGTTTAAGCATTGATAAAATCGAATTCGAACAATATGAAATTTAAAACATATTGTAATTTTAAATTCCAAGTACATTAACAACAGAACTAATAAATCATGAACATAAATGTCAGTTTGTTAACATATATTTCTTTGAAAAAGGCGTGACCATCAAGCACATACGCCGTTACTGTGGTTTAATTTTATTTCTATATTTTTTTTCCTTAGGTTGACCTTCATGGTTAAAAAAAAGGATTCGTTTCTGCTAAATAAATTAACTCTTGAATACCCTCATTTGACATAACACGTTTGACTATTGCGGAGCAGATAATGGATTGAAAATATCAGATTTTTCACGGATTGATGGATCCATTTCATTAAGGTTAGGCAATCATTGTTCATCTTCAAAATGAATACCTGTGACGTCACACAATGGATAGAGCCACGCCCGAAAATGTATTTGGAACATTTTGATAAGGGTTATTTCCTAACTACATGAATTATTCCTTTTTCTTTTTTTGAGGCATCAGATTTAGTCATCAGTATATTAATCAAATTTTTGACTAAAACATATCAAATAGTTATCTAACGGTTAAAACATGCATAATATCCATATAGCCATTCTACCAATTTTTCATGCTTTATGGGGAAAAAAAATTTCTTGTAATAACTAAGTTTAATTTATTTTTAATGTATAATTCCTTTTTTTCCTCCTTAAATTTGAATTTGCATTAAAGTTACTTTCCACTGCGTTACATGTAAAGTATTCATAAGTTCCAAACGCTACTTCAGCTCTATTGTGGTAACAGAAAAAGAAAGGAAAGTAACAGGAAAAGAAAATTGTTTTCCAGTGTTATCTTAATATACTTTTTTTTTCTTTTCATAAAGTTGGGAATACTTGAAAGGTTTCATAGCCGAAACAAAAATTGACAACTAAAGGGACAGATATTTACCCTTAATTGTTATCAGATATGTATCGGTTTAGGTCTCTCTGATACTTTCATTTTAAGTTTGAGTACGTATATACTTGTTTTTTTTTCTTGCACTCTAAATCCTGTTTCTCTTTAATCTAGAACATTACCATTGAGTTGAAGGATAAATTACCCACACCACTTTCTTTCATAAAAGAACCTTTTGCATTACTGTAAAATTATGCATGTATTTAGGCTCACAGAACTTCTTGGTGGACCTAATACTTGGTGGATTTTAAGGAATAATTAAAGAATTGATTGTTGCAATAATTTAGACACCAGAGTAAGTAAGCAATTTAAACAAATATATGACTTGCTAATAGTGCGGTGAAATTTTAAAGAGATTTCAAAATTGAAAAAAAATATTAAGGTTACCTCAATTCTTATTTCGCTACTACTTTAAATATTGTACCTTGCGAAAGAGTTGTGAGTTGGCTTTTATGCTATTCTAGAAGTGGATATAAACTATTTATGGGTATGATTTCTTTTTATACCCGCAAATAATGCAGCTGATTTTAAATTTTACATAACTCCGTTTTCCCAACATTGATTAGATAAAACTGATTAAAGGAAAGGTATGTCTTCAATAAAATTTATATTATTGCTTTACAGCCAAATTTTTTAATGCTTTTAATTAAATACTAATAAAATATAGAAGAGTGTTGTGCATAAGTTGCAAATATTAGGAAATCTAAGTTCCTTATCATACTTATCTGACAATTTCCACTCTTTTTTCAAAAAATGTTTCGTCGTGTTAAAAAAAAACCATTTTTTTATTCTTCGTAATAAAAGAGATTTAAAAGGGTTTTTACAATCAAGATGTTTGATTTAATCAAAAATTTAAGTAAAAATCTGATAATTATGTAAAGATGTTAATAAATGATGGCTAAAAAAAGGAATTTGTGCCGAAATTGAGGAAATTTAGTTATCCAACCGCCTACTTTAGGAAAACATCTTCCCTGAAAGCGCAATTATGGCAACTGTGAAGTTGTTTTTGGTATAGAAAATGTATTCGGATTAAGTATAATG